TGGTGAGAAGTATGTGTAAACCTTTCAACATGTGTTGCTAATACAGCCAGTTAACACAGCTAAGTGATCTTGACCTTGCAACACAAATGCAGTTTCCAACTAATGTCTCTGGATAGCAAGTGTAAATCCTGGCTCATTTTTGGCCCTTCTCCAACCAAAATGTCGGCGATGTGATATTGGTGCTCCTATGTGGCTCGGAGATGTGGATGCTGAAGAGAAACTCGTCTGCCTGTCAAGAATTCCACATGCTTTGCCAGTGCAATATTCTTGGAATACTCTGGTTCAGCTGCTAACGGCTTTTCCTCCACCCCCCGCACTGTCTCGTGCGGTGTCCCTCAGGGCTCTGTCCTCGGTCCCCTCCTCTTCACCCTCTATATGCTCCCCCTGTGGTGACATCATCCGCAAACATGGGGTTAACTTCCACATGTATGCGGATGACACCCAACTCTACCTTTCCTCCTCTACTCTCAACTCCACGACCACCGATGTCCTGACAGCTGCCTGTCCGACATCGAGTCCTGGACGAGAGACAACTTTCTTCAGCTCAATGTGCGCAAAACTGAGGCCCTCCTGATTGGCTCACGTCAGCGCCTCCGCACCTCAGGCGCTGACACCATCAGCATCCAAGGCTGCACTCTCCACCTCTCAAAGCCACTCAGGAACCTCGGTCTTCTGTTCGACCCTGAGCTGTCCTTTCTCCCTCATATCCGCACCACAACTGGCACCGCCTTCCATCACCTCCGGAACATCGCCAGACTACGGCACTACCTCACCCCTCACGCTGCTGAAACTCTGGTCCACGCCTTTGTCACCTCAAGGCTGGACTATGGGAACTCTCTCCTCGCCGGCCTTCCCGGCACCTCCCTCCACAAGCTGCAGGTCATTCAGAACTCTGCAGCTCGTGTACTGTCCCGCACCAGGCTTCGGGACCACATCACTCCCACCCTCGCTCGCCTCCACTGGCTCCCCATCCCCCAGAGGATCCAATTCAAGATCCTCATCCTCACCTACAAGGCCATTCACGGCCTCGCTCCCTCCTACCTCTCCGACCTACTATCCCCCTACCTACCTGCCCGTACCCTTTGTTCCTGTGGCTCCGGTCTGCTCCACATCCCCCGCCCCAACCGCCCTACCATCGGTGGCCGGGCCTTCAGCCTCTCAGCCCCGAGGCTCTGGAACTCCATCCCCCAGTGCCTTCGCCGCCTCCTCCCTTTCCTCCTTCAAGGCCGGTCTCAAGACCTTTCTCTTTGACCGTGCCTTCAGCTCCCCTCTCGACTCTCTACCCCCTCCTCGCTCCCTCCCTTCCCTCCCCTCCCCCTGACCATTTCCCCGCTGCTCGGGTCCCGACCCAACTGTCCAGCGCCTTGGGACGTCCTCCCGACGTGAAAGGCGCTCTATAAATGCAATCTTGTTGTTGTTGACAGTGTAGGGTTAGCTCAGACCAGCTTACCCAGTGTGGCTCAGTTGGTAGCACTGTTGCTTCTCAGTCAGAAGGTTGTAAGTTCAACTCTCATGTCAGGACTTGGAACTTGTAGTATAAGTGAATAGAAAGTGAATATGTCTTATGAATAGAAAGTTCATTTTGTATGTTGCTCTTGTACAGAGTTGCTGATCCAGGTAAAAGAATTAACTTGCTGCAAGCTGATGTGGTCAACTATTCTAGCTGATTGCAGGTTGACATTTGAAGTTTGCAGAGTGTACATAAAATTCTGTTTAACTCCAGCTGCTGAATTTGTATGGAATTTGTAACTTTTTTTTAAAAAAAGAAAAATTTAAATGCTGCAGAGAACTTTGCAAATCTGTTAATGCAAGACAAATCAATTCCCACTTTGCCTTTCTTTTTATTGTATTATTCCAGTGGCTCCAGAGTAGTTTGACCTCCACACTGTCAAATCCTTTTTTATTTTTTGCAAATCTGTTTCCTTCTGTTAAGATTGTTCATATTTGGGTATATCCAAATTTCATTGCGTCAGCTTGAACTTCAGATGAGACTGATGAAACTTGAGTGAGTTATGAGCTTCCCATGAGTGGATACTTCAGGCTTATTTCAGCTTGTTTGGGGAAGTGTTAATGTCGGTGCTGTGAAGTGGAACATTTTATTCCTACTTTCTGCAGCAAATGTCATGCTGCCCCTCTAGTCAAGTTATATCATAGATCCATGGAAAAGCAAAACTGCTAATGTCTGTCACACCGTTCTGCACCAGTATGCTTCCCTTCCTCCCCTTACGTCAATCCTTTTGGCATTTCTGAATGTCAATTTAGTTTTGAGTTATGGGTTCATTGGTCACTCATTTCATCGCTGTTTGTAGGACATTGATATGTATAAATTGGCTGCTGTTTCACCCACAAAATTCACACAATTGCACTACTTTACAGTATGTCTGAAGCATTTTGAGATGTCTCAACAATGTGATAAGGAATGTTAAGGATTATTTGTCAGGAGCTGGGCTGAGGCTGAACTGATATGAAGTAGGAACCTTATAATTGAAAAGAGGTTTTATTCTGTTAGTTTGAGCTGAATTTGAAAATTTGAACCCAAGTCTGAGTATTTAGGATGCTGTTAACTCACTGTACTTTCCAATTCTTAAGTCATTCAATATTTCTAATTTAGTCTAATCCTGCAATCCAATTATTTAACAGACACCATTGCTAAAAACTACTTTAAAATTCACACTTTATATTTTACGTATTGAACAAGTGTTCAAAAGACATGATTTGCGCCACCAAATGATTCCTAAAACACTGCAGATTGTTTACTCCAGTGCATTAGCTGCTAAGCATCACCTCATTTATTTTGAGGGAAAACTCTGGCTTTTTCTAATCGAAAGCCAAAAGCAAAAATGTACATTTTACTGTGACTAAACCTTGCATTTGATATAACACCTTCCGTGTTGAGGACCCATCAGAGATTCACAGGATATACAGGGAGTGTAATTAATGACTTATATAGGCAAATGTAGCAGCTAATTTGCATACAGCAATGTCCCACAAATAGACTTAAAGTGAATGACCAATTTTATTTGGAGGATTATTGGCTGGGATACTGGTAGAAAGAAACTCCCTTAGTTTAACCTAAATACTCTTCCGACCCCCCGCCCCCTCACCATGTTGTGAAGTACTGTAGCAGTAACAAGCCTGTATTGAAGTTGCCTTGTTTTTTGGAGGTGGGGTGGGGGGAATGGCGCAATTTAACTCTGGCATGTTTGACATCAATCTGTTGTATTTGTGAGTTGTTATTTAATGAGTTTGTATGCAGATGATTCAGCCCTGTAACTATCCAGCATCTTCTATAAGTTCATTTTCTGTGTCGTGTTGCATTTTGCATTTCTGCACTACATTCTACCGTTGTATGTGAATGTCTGTTCTATACTGGTTATTGAGATTGCAGTTGACCCCAATCTCGGTTGAAGAGAAGGTTGATGTGATGGTACTCTGTGCACTTTGATCACCTCTCTTCAATCCTTTTAGGGCCCAATTGTTAATGCTCTTGTCCCTGAGTCAGATGGTTGTCAGTCGGTTCAAGCCCCACTGCGCACATGAGAATATCTGGGTTGACACTCTTGAGACGTTATCTGAGGAACACTGCATTGACTGAGATTCTGTCTTTTGGGTGAGGTGTTAAAACCAAGGTCCTGATCAGGCAGATATTTACCAAAAAATCCCATGATACTATTCAAAAATCTTTCAAGTCAAATCCTTCAGGTAAGATTGATTGTTCACTTGATGGCTCTGCCTTCCCTCACCTCCGTAACATCGCCCGACTCCGCCAATACCTCACCTCTCAGGCCGCTGAAATTCTTGTTCATGCCTCCATCACCTCCCGGCTCGACTATGCAAACGCCCTGCTTGTCGGCCTTCCCAACTTCTTCCTCCACAGGCTGCAGATAATCCAGAACCCGTGTCCTCTCCCGCACCAAACTCCGTGACCCCATCTCCCTCACTCTCGCCCGACTCCATTGGCTCCCTATCCTTCAGAGGATCCAGTTCAAGAACCTGGTCCTCACCTACAAAGCCCTCAATGGCCTCGACCCACCCTACCTCTGTAATCTCCTAATCCTCTACCAACCCGCCCGTTCCCTCCGCTCAGCCCACCATTGGCGGGAGAGCCTTCATCCACTCTGCCCCTAACTTCTGGAATTCCATCTCCCAGTCACTCCGCCTCACCCCCTCCTTAGCCTCCTTCAAGTACCACCTCAAGACCCTCCTCTTCAACCATGCCATCCGCCAGCCCCCTTCTCCCCCCCCCCCCACCCCCGACCCCAGCTAAAAATGCTGTGCACTGTTCAGCACCTTGGGACGTCCTCCCGACGTGAAAGGCACTAAACAAATGTAATCTTGTTGTTGTTTGTGGGATATTTACTGTGAAGAAAATAATCACCTATAAATAGTAGTTACATTTTACAGAAAACTGTGCAGCGTGTCGAGACACTATCAAATGCAGGAAGATTTTTTCTGTTGTACAATGGCTTATTGTTTAGGATGTTGCCTAAAATGAATAATATCAAAGTCTGGGTTTGTTTTGTGTCAATTCACTTAAATCATAAGTTTTACTAGCTGTACTGTATATAACGCTTGTGCCTTCTGGGTGACTGAATGGAAACTGTTGTGGAATACTCACTGTGTAGCTATTTTTGAAGTTTAGCTTCACGGAGCGGCTGGGGTTGTGCTGTACTCCTACAAACACTGCTGTGTTTTTATATATAAGAACTGTTTAAATCTACTCTCCATTGCCTCCTTATCCATGCAGACATAAAAGGAAAGTAGTGGTAACAGTTTTATTAAAAATAATGGATGTTTTGGAGAATTAATTGCAAATAAACACCGACCGATTTTGGTCTCTTGCACTATGATTCTTGATGCAGCCTTACTCATAGAGACCTATTTGCCCATTTAACCTCAAACTGCATGCTTTTGTCAACTGATTACGGCTTTTAGAATGAAATAAGTAGAAGAAATGCAATTTTTAACGATATTTACATTTTGTTTTGTTTATATACTAGGATCTGATATTACCAAATGGGACACAAGTAGAGACATCGAGTCCTGTCTCCTCCTCGTCTCTTCTGAATAGACTGCAGTTGGACGATGACCTGGATGGAGAAACCAGAGATCTCTTTGTTGCTGTTGATGACCCCAAAAAACATGTGTCTGCAATGGAAACCTACATCACCTACAGAGTTAGCACCAAGGTACAGGGGCTGGAGTGTCTGCCCATAAGTGTTTTTAGAAGCATGCCCTTGATTTGTTCATGATGCACCACTTTGGGCCAATGTGTTCATGTAATTGATTACTACACTAACATTCTACAGCATGATTTGTGCTCTTGACTTTGTCAGCAGACAAATTCTCTGTTGTCTGAAAAACTGTTTCTCACCCCACCCCACCCCCCACTCCACTCCTGCATTCTTCTCACTTGCAGCTGTGATGTGCTGATGTAATTTATTAATAGAGATTAAAATGAAAGACTTGCGTCTTCACTATGGATGTGATGTTGTAATCGTGCGTAGTCAGTAGGGACTTCTGCTTTTTAAAATTTCAATGCAATTCTTCATGCTATCTATGACTGTCACTGTTGCAACATTGCTTGTTAGAAAATGGAGGGGGTTGTATTTTTCTCATTCTCATCCTCTCTAACTAGTTTCACCCCCTCTCCCCCTTGTGTTGCAAGGTACTGGCAATGGATAATTAGAGGGATGAATTGTGTTGGATTTGATGTAATGTGTCAGCATCGTTTCATTTCCCCTCTTACATTTACATTACATTGGTATTCATGTTGAGAGGGTATCTCAAAGTGCTTCACATCCCAGACTGGGAGCACAAACTGGGAATAGGAAATTGGGGTTGGGGGAGAATAAGATGGCTGAAAGCTTGATCAACAATCCGGGTTTATAGAACTGCACCCGGCAAGGGGAGTTCAGGAGTAAATAGCAATAGAGAGTGGAGGGAAACTTAGAAGAAAAAATTGGTCACACTAAATTTATAAAGAAAAGAAAATCTTTCTGATGAGGAGCAGATAGTCATTCTGTTGGTTGACTCGTGTTAGTTCTAAAATAATAGAGGAGTGAGATTAAGAAATAACTGGAGAAAAGCCACCAGGAAATTGCTTTGACATGAGATCTGGCTGCATTTTCTGCTGAATAATTATTGCACATTTAAGTGTGAAGCATAATATAAAGAAATGCTTACTTGATCAAATCTAGGCAAAATAGGTTTTGAAATAAGGAAAACTAAAACCCGCCTGGTTTGTACCTGAAACAACTTTGCCAAATTCAGAGAGCTCATACATTAAATAAACTTTTGGAGTGTTAATGCTATATCAAGGGGTATCTGATGTTTACGCCTTTTAATTGGTTCATCATTCTTATTGGAATCAATCACTTTTTTCTCCCACCCCATCCGCCAACAAAGATTAGACTATTGAAATGCAATCCAATTTATTTATGCAAGTGAGGTTTATCAGTGTTGAATATATATTTCTTTGTGGCTCAGGTGGTTATGTAGACGCTATCATTTAAGTGCTAAGTGCTGTTTTAATACAATTTAAGCTATTTATTTCATCAAATTAATGGAATAAGGCTTTCTGACTACATAAAAAATAATCAATATATGCTTTGGTTCAAATTGAAGTAGAAACAATTTGTATTTAATGTATTGTGTGCTTAAGTACCATCATATTAGTGATCCAATAAACAGTTTCAACTAGTTCAACTGAATATCACTGGAACATGTATAATGTTCTAGTGATATTCAGTTGAACTAGATGAGCTACTAAACCTGGTTAATGCACAGCAGTGAGAGTAAAATAAGTTGATATTGAACTGTTCAATCTTTTGTCCTCTCATGGTTATAGAGTTGTATTGGGATACTCTGTTAGAATGTACCATGGTTTAGTTTAGGTCTGTTCATAGCATGTGTACTGTGGACTTGCACTATACCAGCTGGTGTCCGATGTTACAAAATGGTACCTTCTGGATCATCCGTTATTGTCGTTTTCTGCATGCTGTTGAAAGCACTGATGTCACTTTCTCTGGCTGCACATGGGTGCATGAGATCCGCTGATTTTGCATATGCAATGGTATCAGCAGTACTTGCAGGAAATAACATCAGCATTAACCTTACAACGTGGAAGATAGCCATTTATTTTGTTGTGCGTTTTTACTGTGGGGAATTTTAACTCGTGAATCCAACCCATCTTGTTACAAAAGGGTTTCCTAGTATATTGGTGTGTTTACGTTTACAGTATTGCAGGTGATGGGTGCCTTGGGTTTGGCAACAGAACTGTAAAATAATTGATGTAATTGTTGCCCCAATTCACTTATAAAGGTAGTTTCCTTTTCTTCTAGAGGAAGATGTGAAGATGGCAGTAAGTGCAATATTTCTTTACAGTGGAGGCTGCCAATGCTTCTGGTCTTTGGTGGGTTGAGTGCTCGGCCCATTGTAAAAGCAAGTGATGTAATATTCTCATCACTGGGCTGCAAGAAATTTGCTGAACTGGTCTGGAGATGAGATCATATTTGCTTTCAAACCATTCTTTGCAGCGATTGCTACACTTCTCTGGAGTCCTGCAATATGAATGAAGTTGATTCCATAGAGCCAGGTGTGAGGAATATGACAAAACCACTTCTGTTTAAAGGGAATACTGAAGTATAAATGAGTAAGAAAATGCATTAATTGTACAGCCTCTTCCTAGTAAAATCAAAATGGTCATGAATCAATATAACTATTTCAATGCAAATTTGACAGCTTCTATGTTTTAACTCTTCGAATCGATTTCAGACAACAAGAAATGAGTTTGATTTACCGGAGTATGCAGTACGGCGAAGATACCAGGATTTTGACTGGTTGAGAAATAAACTGGAAGAGTCTCAGCCAACGCATCTCATTCCCGTAGGTACTAAACTGCTCTGGTCTTGTGTGGGTGTGTGCTTATTAGCAGAGTTAGAGTGGGGCTCCATGGAACTGAAGCATATATCTGATGCCATTTTCATCCTTCAGACTGGTGTATTCTAAATACACTCCTGATCTCCCCATTTGTTTACTATCTTAAATCGATGCCCCATTTAGTCACTGACTTACAGACCAAAGAAAATTTCTCCATATTGACTCTTAGCACCAGGCTTCGTGACCACATCACTCCCACCCTCGCTCGCCTCCACTGGCTCCCCATCCCCCAGAGGATCGATTTCAAGATCCTCATCCTCACCTACAAGGCCATTCATGGCCTTGCTCCCTCCTACCTCTCCGACAACAACAACAACAAGATTCCATTTATAAAGCGCCTTTCACGTCAGGAGGACGTCCCAAGGCGCTGACCTCTCCGACCTACTATCCCCCTACCTACCTGCCCGTACCCTCCGTTCCCCTGGCTCCGGTCTGCTCCACATCCCCCGCCCCAACCGCCCTACCATCGACAGCCGGGCCTTCAGCCTCTCAGCCCCGAGGCTCTGGAACTCCATCCCCCAGTGCCTTCGCCGCCTCCTCCCTTTCCTCCTTCAAGGCCGGTCTCAAGACCTTTCTCTTTGACTGTGCCTTCAGCTCCCCTCTCGACTCTCTACCCCCTCCTCGATCCCTCCCTTCCCTCCCCTCACCCTGACCACTTCCCCCCTGCTCGGGTCCTGACCCAACTGTACAGCACCTTGGGACGTCCTCCCGACGTGAAAGGCGCTCTGTAAATGGAATCTTGTTGTTGTTATCAAAACCCCTCAATGTTAAATACCGTGATTGTGTCACCCCACAGCCGCTTTTGTTGCGAAAAGTTTCAATTCTTCCAATCTCTGCTCACAGGCCAAACCACTCATCTCCGGTATCATCCTAGTAAATCTCCTTTGTACCCCCTCCATGGCTTGATGTCCACCCTAAAGTGGGGTGATCAAAACTGGACACCATACATGAAGTTTTTGGAATAAATGCAATGATAGTTGTACAATATCCAGACCAGATCCTGGTTGAAAACTCAAAACTATAATCAAGCTGTATTTTGTGACGTCAAGTGCTGACTCTGTAGTTGGATGCGTTTTTACCCCTTAGTAATGTTGTATGTGTAAATGTTAATGTTTGTTATATTTTTAATATGATAATACTTGCATTTGAGGTAGCACCTGATTACATGGTTGATGGCTGAAAGCCATCCACTGAAGAGAGGTGGGACTCATTTTTGTGGGCTAACGCGGCAGCCAATTTGTTCAGTTTGTATCCCATAAAAAGCCATGGAGCGAGTGACCAATTTTATTTGGGGGATTGTTGGCCAAGGCACCGGGAGAAACTTCCTTTTCTTTTCGAACAGTGTAATGGAATCTTTAACGTCTACCTGAACAGGCAGATGGGACCTCAGTTTAATGTCTCATTGAAGGATAGCACCTCCAACAATGCAGAACGCCCCAGCATTGTATTAGTGTAAGCATAGACTATATGGGTTTGAAGTCCTGACGTGGGAGTTGAACCCATGACCTTCTAATTCAAAGCCAAGAATGCTACCAATTGAGTTAGACTGATTCACTATTGTAAATATAAACTTGTGCATGCTTAGTTCGTGCAAGTAGCTAGGTATGCTTAAGAAAGACCTCCTTGAAAGGTAATGTGAAGAGGCCTGGAACACAGCCTGTTTTCATGTAAACGAATGTCCAGTCATAGCAGGCTGGTTTTGGATAGAACTTACTGCCTTTTGTCAAAATATTTAACTTGACGTGGGTTAGGGTGGAGGACAGGAAGAGAGAGGGAGGATTCTTTGCTTACCGATGGGCATCGCACAATACTTCATTTTTCTGTTGTATGCTTTTTTTTCCCTGTAAACTTGGCTCTGAATATGGGAAACATTAAGTTTCAGGATGTTGGCCTTTTGTTTTACACATCCTTTACACTCTTATTCCAATGCTTTAATTTTAGTAAAAGTGACTTAAAATAGCCTAGTGAACAGGTACTTTCTAAATTTGTTCTGCTCAGATGTGTTTTGCCTAAAGAACAATCTAAGAAATATTGACTTTTTTTTCCTGAATTTCCAAATATTTTGAGGGAGCAAGCTTTCTCCTGGAAGTTGGGTTTAGTGCTGGGTAATTAATATTATACTTGCAACAATGATCGACCATTTCTAGATTGGGTGTAACAAAGTTTAAGATTTGGAGTAAAGTCTTCCTTGACTTAACGTGTCCAATACGAAAAATTTATGCAAAAATGTTTTGGTCGCCAATGGCCATTGCACAATACTTCATGGCAACAGTAAAGGGTTAGTAATTGATTTCTGAGGGTATGGTTTCTTTTCAGTCCTTTTCAGGATTCATTTCTCTCTTAACACAAACCCCCTGTTCTAGCTAAACTAAATGGAACTGTTCCGGGACACTTCTTGAATCACCAGTGTTGTCCAGCAATGTACCTAAGGCAACAGTTCCTCACTGTAGTTTTAAGATTTATTTACTTTTACTAAAACTAAGGGAGTACTTTGTACAAAGTGCTATGCTTCCCTTTATAATTAATGTTGTTCCTTTTACTCTGCTTCATTCCACCCTCTTTATAGACAAAGTTTGTAATCCTGACAAAACGTAAGGACTATCCTGTGCTGACCCTCATCTCACTTAGTTGCCCATGTCAGAATCCACCCCTACTGCACAGTTTGAAAAAGTTTAGATGCCTGAAAATGTAGCTTTCAACAGCCTGCACCATGATCCTACCAGACAGGGTATACAGCATTCCATGATAAAATTGAGCAGTTTCCACTGCTTTCACAGAAATATGAAGAAAGCTGAAAGATAAATCCTTTTGCAGTTCACTGTTGGTGAGGGTTGTAGCGGAGGTTGTGTGAAGGAAATATGGAATATATTGTATGTTTAACATCGATCTTATAAACTTTTTTAAAGTAGCTGCTGTGTTGCATCATGTTGACCAGTGTCACTTGATCACCTGCTGGTCTCCAACAAAACATAACCTAACATTGCTTCACTCAAGCACTAATTCCTTGAGAAATATTTCTGGCAACATTCTAAAGATCCAATATTTTACCCTTAATTCCTCTTCTAATGGATTACAAATGTTCTCCTTTTCTTACTGAAACTAAGGAAGTACTTTGAGATCTTTAGAGGTAAATGCAGATAAGTTAGCAGCAGTTGGGGTTTTTATCTGCTAGCTATGAACATCGATTAAAGAGCAAACTAACGTTTCTAGCAGTATTTCCTAAAATTCAAATTAAATAAAATTAATGAACTTGGTGACAGTTTTAATGAAGTGTTTGCTTGGAAGGTGTATTTCTCTAATTCTCATCATCTAAATCTCACTCAACTCTCAAGTTCTGTAAGATAGTTATAGGATGAATCTTCAATTTTTTTTCCTTTTCCTAACTCCATGCGAGGAAGCACTTCCTCACATGGAGTTAGGAATGCCCTACAGTATTAATAGGAACACAGTAGTCTGGGAGTTAAAGCTGCTGTGCACGACCATGACAGCTTGAGGCACACAGATTTTTATTCTTCATCCACCTGTTAAAGTGAATATTAAAGATGCCACCATGCTATCTGAGAAGGCGAGGGAATTTCTCCCAGATTCCTGGCCAACATGATTAATAGATAATCTCATGGCTGGTTGTGGAACCTTAGTGGTGAAAGTTGTGTTTACTTGTAGTACAACTGCTACAGTGCTTGACTAATTATTTGAAGTCCTTAGACAAATGAGTCCTAACAGTGGTTAGGGCACTCGCCTCGCAAGCGAGAAACCTGGGTTTGATTCCCGGCAGGGCGAAACGTTGGACAAGTTTCCTTATTCCCTACACCTCTGTTTACCTAGCAGTAAGCAGAAGGCTGGTTGGTAGTCATTTGGTGGATCGCTTTTCCAGGGATGATAATACCCCCCCCCCCCTCCAATAATAATTTGGTCACTCATTCCACGCCTGTTTGTGGGACGCTGCTGTGCGCAATTGGCTGCCGCATTTCGCTCACAAATATACAGTCAATTCACTTCACAGTGTATTCTATGAAGTGCTTTGAGATGTCTAGAAGACGTGAAAAACGCTATATCAAATGCAAGGATTATTATGTTTGTGATGAGGCGGTATAAAAAAAACAAGTTCCTTTACAAATTTCATAATCTGTAAAATAACATGGTCTTCTCCCCCTAAATGTTAAAGCTTAAATCTGATACTAATAATCTTTGCATTTGATATGTCTTTCACGTTATTCTGCACAGGACCCACTGTAAAATGTAGTGAGTGTATTTGTAGGCGAACGAGGCAGCACACTTGCACACAGTTTACTTTAAAGAAAAATACTAATTCCTGAATATTAGCTGCGGCAATGCATAATACAAGCTGTGAAGTGCTTTGAGACTTCCTCTTGGCGTGGAAGGCACTATACCAAATGTGAATTATTATTAATAGTCTGAGGAAACCAATAGAGAAATTGAAACTAGGTGAAGGGTTGAAGCTTGTATTATTGCATTGCATTCCTTTGGTTGCTGTTTAGTTGTTGATGTACATTTAAATGATGTTGATAGTGCAAGTGCAGTCTAAATTTGAAAAAAAGACATGTTTAACCTTATTTTCTTGTGCAGCCTCTTCCAGAAAAGTTTGTTGTTAAGGGAGTTGTGGATCGCTTTTCAGAAGAGTTTGTGGAGACCAGAAGGAAAGCCCTCGACAAATTTCTTAAAAGAATTGCTGATCATCCTGTCCTTTCTTTCAATGATCACTTCAACATTTTCCTTACGGCTAAGGTATGGTTATAAAACACCATGTAAAAGCAAAATCAAGGAAATGCCGTATTGTTGATCGTATTAACATTAATAAAACAAGATTGACATCCACAAAAGCATCACCTAATTAAAGTACAGTGGAGTTGTCATATGCAATGTCAGGATTTTTAAAATCCAGACTCAGTCATTTCTGTTCAGTGCACAGATACAGATTGTATCAGGAGTAATGCTGGAGGTTGGCAGCTGTTTGTACACATCAAAGCACTTCCAGGCATGTGTTTGTCTGAGGATCTGACTAAAACATTCTAAAATCTATATGGTGGTAACACTTTGGGTTACTGTGCGATTAGTTATTGAAGAGGAATACTGCTTGTGGAGCATAACAACAACTTTCCTCTGCAAATTATCGGCTATATTCATTAAATCTAAAGTACAAGTACAGTTACTCTTAAGAGGAAGTCTCTTGACCTTCCTGAATATTGTGTTCTGTTATGGCTTTTAAAATCCAATAACTTTTGTAATTTCATTTTATCTTGCTCATTGAAAGGATTATTCAGCACTTACAGATTGGGTAATCAGCCAGTCTTGTTAAGCGCTTTGGCACACGCTTCGGACAGGAAAGTGCTATATAAATATAAATTTGTGGTGTATGTTAATGTGGAAATGGTGCATTAATTCCCTTGGACCACAATAATTGTGAACTGTTACCCAAAATGAACAGTTAAATTTCGGTCCTACCCCCACCATTGCTATTCACTGGGATTTATTAGTAACATCTTAGTGCTGTTGTGAAAAATACTTAACCCAAATGTACCATATATTCTCCTGTATCAACAACTAAGCGATAGCCGTAAAACTACCCTCTGTCTATCAGAGAGCAGTTTTGTGATCTGAATGTGAATTAGATTCATTTTGCGAGAATTATATTCAAAACAAACACCAGTTCTTTATCCCTGGTAATAAAGGCTTGTTACCAGAAAGGATAGTCCAGGTCAGATTACTTCACTAATGATACAGTAATGAAAGCCAGGGGAGATGCCATTGAGGAAGGATATGATCAGATGAGCCCAAGTTTCTTTCCATTATCCTAATGTGGGGCTTCAGCCCACAACCTTCGAGGCGAGAATGTTACCAATTGAGTAAAAATTAGAATATCTCAGTCAACTTGTTTTTAATTTTGTTTTTCTTTCACCCCCATATAGGATCTAAATCCTTACAAAAAGCAAGCTTTGGCCTTCATAGCAAAGGTGGGAGAGTCAGTAAAGTATGTTACAGGAGGCTACAAACTAAGAAACCGACCAATGGAATTCGCTGCGATGGGGGATTACTTAGACACATTTTCTCAGAAGCTTGGAACAATTGATCGAATCGCACAGAGGATAGTCAAAGAACAAGGAGGTGAGATGCTGGGAAACCTTTTGAGAGAAAACCATTTGTACCAAACTCGTACCAATCCCTCCTGAATATATCTTTGCCCAAAGCATTCCAAAACGAATGGTAGGATTTTCCAGGTTTGTTCCAGTTTGTATAGATTAGCACGTGCTGATGACTGTAAAATAAGACTAGATAAAGGCTAAAATGGAACTTTCTTTTCCCTTACCTTCCCAAAAAAATTCTTATCCATGTAAATGGAGTCCTGTAGCTTAGTGGTTAGAGCACTTGCCTCACACGCGAGAGGATCTGGGTTCAATTCCCAGGCAGGGTGAAATGTTGGGCAAGTTTCCTTTCTCCACACGGCTCTGTTTACTAGCATTAACTGGGAAACCAGTTGTTAGTCGATTGGCGGATTGCTTTTCCAGAGGTAATAATCCCTTCATACAAAACATAATAATTTGGTCACTCAGTCCACGACTGCTTGTGGAACACTGCAGTGTGCAATTGGCTGCGCATTTTGCCCACAAAATACAGTCAATTCACTTTATAGTATATTCTGTGAAGTGCTTTGAGACATCTCGAAGATGTGATAAGGCATTATATTAAATGCAAGGATTATTATTATCAGAAGGGTAGTGCAGCTTTTCCCATTGAAGTTGCATGGACACTGTCAGTTCTGATGTTTGATCCATGAGCAGTGAGGAGGGTATGCAGTAGTAGTATAGGATAATGTGAGCAATATGCCATCAAATTGGAACTATTTAATTGAGAGCAGATGATCACGCCATCAAATCATTCTACACATAATGTGTCAAGAATAGTTCAGATTTGTTCACTTGTATGCTTGTTGGGATTCAAAACTGTTGGTGTTTGTGGAATAATGGAAAGGACTCAGTACTCCTCTGGCTCTTTCCCCTCTTTTGAGCACCTCACCCTCTCCCACCCCTCCTTTCTCTCACTCAAAATCCTCCTCCTGTAACGGCCCCCTAAAACCTCTCCCACCTTCATCTCCGATATTTCTACCCTACTAACATCTCTCTGCCTCTGCTCTGATCGCCTCATCATCCTGGGCGACTTCAAACTGCACTTCACCCTCTCCTGCTCCATCTCTGCTCCATCTCCTCGGACTTCTCCTCCCTGCTCTCCTCGCTCAACCTCTCCCTCCACATCAACTCCGCCACTCACAGTCACGGCCACCCACTCAACTTGGTGATCACCCGGGGCCTCAGTGTCTCAGATGTCACCATTACCGACAAGGCCGTCTCCGATCACCACTTCATGTCCTTCACCACCTCCACCCCCCTCCCCACCTCCACCAGACCCAGCACCATCTTCTACCGCCCCTAGAAGAAGTTACCCCCTCAATCCCTAACCGCTGCCTTGGAGTCCTCTGAACTCCTCTCCCTCTCGTCTTCAACCCTCACTGACCCATCTTCTGCTCTCACCCTCCTCCACAACACCCTTTCCTCCACACTCGACACTCTGGCCCCCATCACCTCCCATGCTGTGGGAGTCCTTTGTGGAGTCCTGTAGTTCAGTGGTTAGAGCACTCGTTTTGCAAGTGAGAGACCCGAGTTCAATTCCAGGCAGAGGGCGAAACCTTGGGCAAGTTTCCTTACTCCACACGCCTAATAATAATCCCTCCAAAACTAAAAACAAAATTAAATTGGTCATTGTCAATCTACGACTGTTTGTGGGACATTGCTGTGCGCAATTGGCTGCCGCGTTCACCCACAAATATACAGTCAATTCACTTTACAGTGTGTTCTGTGAAGCGCTTTGGGACGTCCTCCCGACGTGAAAAGCGCTATATCAAATGCAAGGATTATTATTATTATTATTATACTGTCTCCTACTCTCGTTCCTCCCCCTGGTTCACCACTCACCTCCGCTCACTGAAGAGCCAGGTGCGGGCCGTTGAACCCACCTGGGTCAAATCTGGCCTAACGGTCCACCGACAAATCTGGTTGGACCTCCTCAAAATCTACCGCTCCACTCTAGCCTCGGCCAAGTCGTCCTTCTACTCCAGGATAATCCTGGAGGCGAAGAACAACCCCAGGTTTCTGTTCTCTACCACATCCCGACTCCTCCGTCCCCCCCGCCACCCCGCGCAGGTCATCTCCTCCAACCTTCACTGCGAGGAGATGCTGGATTTCCTTGAATCCAAAATCAAGGGAATCCGCTCCGCGGTCACTCCCCCTCCAACTTCCCCCCACCCCTTCCCTCCCACACTCCGACTCCTACCCATCCTCCCCTACACACCTTCGAACCCGTTTCCCCACCCTCTGTCACCAAACTCATCCTGTCCCTGAAACCCACCACCCGCTCCCTTGACCCCATCGCCACTCCACTCCTTATCTCTCAGCTCCACCTCCTTGCCCCACTTATCACAGACATCATCAACCTGTCCCTCTCCTCTGGCTCTGTTCCCATTCCCTAAAAACTGCCACCATCACTCCCACCTTGAAAAAACCCTCCCTTGATGCGTCGCAGCTATCAAGCTACCGGCCCATCTCCAACCTCCCCTTCCTGTCCAAGGTCCTTGAAAGAGTTGTCGCCTCCCAGCTGCGCTCTTTCCTCTCCACCCATGCATTATTCGAACCCCTTCAGTCGGGTTTCCGTGCTGCCCATAGCACAGAAACCGCCCTGGTCAAGGTCACCAATGACATCTTGACCATCTGCGACCAGGGCTCCCTCTGCCTCCTCGTCCTCCTCGACCTATCGGCAGCATTCGATACGGTCGACCACTCTATCCTCCTCCACCGCTTGTCCTCCCACCTCAACCTTCAAGGCCCTGTCCTTGAGTGGTTTAGGTCGTACCTCTCCCACCGTCTTCATTTTGTTTCCACAAACGGCTTTTCCTCCACCCCCGCACTGTCTCGTGCGGTGTCCCTCAGGGCTCTGTCCTCGGTCCCCTCCTCTTCACCCTCTATATGCTCCCCCTTGGTGACATCATCCGCAGACATGGGGTTAACTTCCACATGTATGCGGATGACACCCAACTCTACCTTTCCTCCTCTACTCTCAACTCCACGACCACCGATGTCCTGACAGCTGCCTGTCCGACATCGAGTCCTGGACGAGAGACAACTTTCTTCAGCTCAACGTGTGCAAAACTGAGGCCCTCCTGATTGGCTCACGTCAGCGCCTCCGCACCTCAGGCGCTGACACCATCAGCATCCAAGGCTGCACTCTCCACCTCTCAAAGCCAGTCAGGAACCTCGGGTTCTGTTCGACCCTGAGCTGTCCTTTCTCCCTCATATCCGCACCACAACTGGCACCGCCTTCCATCACCTCCGGAACATCGCCAGACTACGGCACTACCTCACCCCTCACGCTGCTGAAACTCTGGTCCACGCCTTTATCACCTCAAGGCTGGACTATGGGAACTCTCTCCTCGCCGGCCTTCCCGGCACCTCCCTCCACAAGCTGCAGGTCATTCAGAACTCTGCAGCTCGTGTACTGTCCCGCACCAGGCTTCGACCACATCACTCCCACCCTCGCTCGCCTCCACTGGCTCCCCATCCCCCAGAGGATCGAATTCAAGATCCTCATCCTCACCTACAAGACCATTCACGGCCTTGCACCCTCCTACCTCTCCGACCTACTATCCCCCTACTTACTTGCCCGTACCCTCCGTTCCTCTGGCTCCGGTCTGCTCCACATTCCCCACCCCAACCGCCCTACCATCGGTGGCCGGGCCTTCAGCCTCTCAGCCCCGAGGCTCTGGAACTCCATCCCCCAGTGCCTTCGCCGCCTCCTCCCTTTCCTCCTTCAAGGCCGGTCTCAAGACCTTTCTCTTTGACCGTGCCTTCAGCTCCCCTCTCGACTCTCTACCCCCTCCTCGCTCCCTCCCTTCCCTCCCCTCACCCTGACCATTTCCCCCCTGCTCGGGTCCCGACCCAACTGTCCAGCGCCTTGGGTCATTCTCCCGACGTGAAAGGCGCTCTATAAATGAAATCTTGTTGTTGTTGTAGTCCTGATTGAAGTGGTGCCTTGTAGAGCTTCCTAATGCCACCATAAGTCTAGAAAGGCCAAACATAAAGGAACAGTTCTAGTAGCGCATTTTGATGTTTCTGTCTCCATTGAGAGCTTAAGTTTGAAGCTCTGATGGTTTATAAACCCCACTTTCTTCAATTAAGATTATTTTCCTGCCTTACGATGCTATTTGATGGTCTTTGTCCATTTTGCTGCTATTTTTGCTTGTTTTCCCCTGGTGGGATAGCAACAATTTGCCTTATGAATGGCATTTAGAACATTATAGCTTTTATTTCTGCATAGGATTTGTATCTAGGGTTAAGCAAGTTCATGTTTAATTATAAAAGTATGATTTCTGTTTACTTAAATTAAGAACTTAATTCTTGCAAAGTTTTACATTTATTATTTTATCTTGGAATTAACTTTCTATTTACTTGTCACATTCAAATCTACAGAATACTTAGTGGAACTGCAAGAATATGGACCAATTTATTCAACCTGGTCTACCGTAGAAGATGAGCTAAGTAAACCCCTTGACGGCATGTCAAATTGTGTTGACAACTGTTGTTCATCCCTGGAGGAATTGACTGAGGATATGTCTGAAGATTTTCTACCTGTTCTGAGAGAATACGTTCTTTACATTGAATCGATGAAGGTCAGGAAAAAGTTCTGGGTTGGCTTATGATCTAGGTTATGTAATTTTGAGATTTAACTTTTGAATAGGAGCTTTGAAGATATTTTCAGATTACATTGGTTCCAATTTTAACAAAAAAAACTTTCCCAGAGATTTACATTTGTTTCTTTTAGCAATTAAGAATTGTGGTGCATAAACTCACAACAGCTAATATCACAGAAGTATAAACTTCTCAATGAGGTGCGAGTTTTTAGGGAATTAAAAATTTGAGTCACACTGGAAAGAGATCACTAAAGAATTGGCTCACATGTTCTTTGTGAGTAAACAGAATTATTCCCATAGATTGTTTCCAAGTTGATTCCTTTTTTTTGTAACTAATACAATTTGAATTATTTAATGATCCTCCTTCATAGTCTGATGTGGCAATAGCATTACATGTGTTGGAGGTAACCTTGAATGATATGAGATACTATTTATAAAATATTGGAAATGACAATTAGCTCAATATTCTATCAGTGTAAGGAATTCTTGCTTTTGTGTAATTTATCATCTTGAGTGCTCTGGTGGAAGACTTTGCATAGTTTAGGATATTCCACTGTTTCCTATTGTGTTCTGTTTAACCACAGAAGACAAACCATATTTTCTTTTGTTTGAAATTGAAGGTATCCACATGGAAAGAACAGTTACTTTTTACACACATGTCTGCACCTACTGAAGTCGCAACTTGCTAAAATGTACAAAGTAAAATTTTCATCCCTGTCGAATATAACTTAGCTCAAGTCGTATTTCAGCAAGCGAGTGACCTTGAATCAAATGTCGAAGATCCTAGTCGGGAATATTTGTTAGTTGTCATAGATTATTAAGTATTGGTTTGTGTACAACTTACAAGGAAGACAGTAAGGCAAAGCTCTGAACACCCTTAGTGATTTGGTCTCAAAACAGCCTCTTATGTAATAATCTACTCTGGTTAAAATGCAGTTTGCTAGGATCTAAATGCATTTAATTGAAATACCATTGAGTTGTTGCCTTTTTAATCTAAGGGTTGCTGTGGAGAAAAATTGTGCAAGAAGTACTTAGTATTTTAGTATTTCATACTGAATATACATTAGAGTTACTATCATTAAGATGTAGTGATATATTAGCAGATATAATATCGTAAATTGACTGCAGGCCATTTAGCAAGTTACATACACTGAATAATCTAAGATGATGATGAAATTGGATTTTTGTCATAAATTTGTTTTATAGAGTGACATTTGTGGTATCAATAAGTTCAGAAGTTAAATTGATCAGTGAATACCAATTGACAGGCTTTATATAATGGCTCTGTACCAAGTTAATCTATGAAGTTCAATAGTCCATTTTGTTAAAGGAGAGAGATTAAAGGACTTTGGCTAATTGTTGCATTTTGCTTAATTTAATTTCTGAAGCTTAACATTACTGTGGAACAAATGCCAAATTTCATGTTTATGGTCCATCAATATGGATATTGTGTTTGAGGCTGATGAGTCCCAGGGAAAGGGCTGCTTCTATGCCAGGTTTTAAAGCTTGTTTTTGTTCATTTTTATCCTAGAATGTGCTCAGGAAAAGAGATCAAGTACAAGCTGAGTATGAGACTAAGCTTGAGGCAGCTGCTTACAAGAAAGAAGAAAAAACAGTGGTAAGTACCATTAAACTCTTTCATTACAAAATCCGATTGACACTCTACAATTTAATAGGCATAGTTATTGAAGGGAGTAAAGGCTTATGTTTATGTAACATCTTTGTTTAAGAAACTTCTCAAAGCATTTTACAGAATGATTAAAAATGAAGGAATATTAGGCAGGCAAACTCGGCAACTAATTTGCAATTGACCAGCAATCTCAAACGTTATAAGTATCCATAATACAGGGAAACACTTATACAGTGCTTTGCTGGAACACTGGTTTGGTTATTGAGGTTTGAACGCCGACATTAACTTAACCAAAATATCAAAATACACGGCTGGCTCCACTGCCGTTATCGCACATGGAAGGCTTTCAGGTTATCAGATCAGTGGCAACTTGATGACACAAGAAGTTGAACATTTTGTCTTGCCCTTTCTGTAGGTTGTACAGTGAATGCAGAAGCAAACTGGCACTCACATCAGTTATAGCTCTGTTTGGACGACAACTATTATAGTATTATAAATATCGATTTATGATGGGGCTCCATTGTAACTTGGATTTTTGGGTAAAATATTTATCTCAGTACAGATGCAAGGTGCTGCATATAGAAAGTAAGATTAGGAAGCATGTGTCCTCCATGAATTAGATAACACTTGCCAATGGGGAAGCTGAGAGGGATATAGAGATGTTGGTTGACTCATCACACACACAATGTTAAAGGCTTGACTGCTGATGGTGGGTTGAGGGACATGCAGGAACCGGAAGTTTGTCAAGTGGATGGGACAAGCAGAAGAGGGAGGTTGGGGAACTTATAATAATAATAATCCTTGCATTTCATATAGTACTTTTCACGTCTTCTCGATGTCTCAAAGCGCTTCACAGAATATGCTATAAAATGAATTGATTGTATATTTGTGGGCGAACTTCACAGGGATGGTGAGATGCTAGGGTGTGAAGGGATTTATAGGTGAGGGTGAAACCCTGGAAATTGATCTTTTGGGAGATATGTAGCCTGGCAAGTGCTGGAGTGATGGGCATGTGACTTTTCAGGATGTAGGTGTCAATTTTGAATGAGTTGGATCCTGTGATTGCTGGAATTAGGGAGATTGCTGAGGAATGTGTTTTGAGAGGTTTGAATCTGGAGGTATCAAAGGCGTGAATAAGCGTTTTGTGTGAGACGGGTCAGAGGCAGGCACTGTGGCAAAGGTGAAGAAAAACAGTCTTTGTTAGGGACCAAATGAAGAAAGGAGAGGCAAGGATTGAACCAAAAAAGGTTGGGCACTGGTTCACTGAATTCGAGAGGCCAGGGAAGTTGAGGTCAGAGACGGAATTGAGAAAATGTTGGCAGGAGCTGAGGAGGATGCTTTTGTTTTGTTAACACTGAGCTGCAAGAAATTAAAGTAACTGGTTTAGGGCAGCAAAATATCTAAATATGTATAATTATTAAATATTAAATATATAAGTATTAAACAGAATATACTGTCAATCTACTTTGCAGTATATTCTGTGAAGTGCTTTGAGACTTCTCAATGATGTGATAAAGCGCTATATCAAATGCAAGTATTATTATTATGGACAATTTCAGGACTTACGCCAGGAAGGATTTCTTGACCTAGATAGTAATTAACAACTGGAACAGGTTACCAGGAAAGGTGGTTGATGCCAGGAGGCTGGATTCATTTTTTTTAGAAAAACTTGAGTTTGTGATGAAAGGATGGTAGTGTGGGTTTTCTGGAAGGATTTGATCAAATGGGCTGGAACTTGTATGATTGTTGTAGTGAGTGTTACTCTACATCTTGCCATGCTTGGCCGGGGGCTTGATACTGATACTGGGAGAGAATGTTTGATTTGAAATCACTTTCTCTGATGAGCACAATTATAATAATTCTTGCATTTAATATAGCGCCTTATCACGTTGTTGAAATGTCTCAAAAGTGCTTCACAGAATATATAGTAAAATAGAGTGAAATATGGCAGCACAGCAGTGTCACACAAACAGTCATGGATTGAATGACCTTATTTATTTATTTTTGGAGGTATTATTACCCCCCTAAAGTTATCTGTCAATTGACTAACAACTGGGTTCCTACTTATTGTTGGTAAATAGAGTTGTGTGGAGTAAGGAAACGTGCCTAAGGTTTCACCCTACTGGCGAATCGAACCTGGTTCCTCTCATTTGGAGGTGAGAGTGCTAGGTAGAGTAGGGTGATTATTATAGGAAGGACTCTTAGCCCTAATAAATAATTGGACTCTGTTGCTATACTAACTGGTTAATATCATTGGTTAATTCTGATTGTACCATTCAATATACTGAAGTTGTGTGTTCACTATGTAGCTCTCAATTCTGTACTGCTTGGAGATTTCATAGTATTTATACTTGAAGTGACTTCCTTTGTAAACTTGTATTTTGTTTAATCTGCAGGAATTGTATGCATTCTACAGATGTTTTTTCCTTTAGTTCACGAAGGAAAGGTTCAACCCAAGTGCAGAAACAACATTTGGAAAACTGTAAAAATAGCCAAATTCTAATATCTAGAGCCAAGTGCTGTGGATTATTACACTTGACTGTGTCAACCAATGTAGTAAGATTCTTCAAATAATTGCACTTTTCTAAAATAAAACCCTAGGATTTCTTTGGTATTTGCTTTTAAACAAACTTCAAATAAAACTTTTTAAAAAAAATTGTAACAGTTATACATAGCTTTGCAGTAATAAATATTTATTCAATACTTGGCAAAATTTCCTATCTCTGGAACAAGTTCTTGGGGACTTCAATATGCAAGTTTATTTTTGCATTTCAATAGAGAATTGAAAGCCAATTTTTCAAATTCTGTAAATCTCACCATGGAAATTTCATTGTATTTATAATTGAAGTGACTTCAAATTTTGTCACTATAAAATGAGCATATTATTTGACACCACCACTAAAGTGTTAGGAAACGTATAACAGGAGAAACCCCTTGTCTCTCTCTCTCCCCCCCCACCACCATCACCACATTCAGTCAATCTGCAGTTCTGCTTTTTTTTTGTAGGGACACATTAATATAGTGCATCTTAAAAAGTTTTTTTTCTTCTCTCACTCTCTCCCAAAGACAACAAATTGCATATACATAGCACCTTTCATGTCAGAAGGACGTCCCAAGGCACAGGACAATGAGAGATGTGCACCCGAGCTGCAGGTTGGGATCAGAGTGGGGTGGAGGAAAAGAGGGGTGAAGAAGGGAAGGTGACCAAAGGCACAGTTGAAAAGGAAGGTCTTGAGACGTACCTTGAAAGAGGCAAGGGAGGGGGAGAGCGGTGGTGCTCTGGACTGAGTTCCAGAGGGTGGAGGCAGGAAAGCTGAAGGCCTGACTGTCAATAGTCAAGGAGGAAGTGTAGAGACATGGACCAGGCCAGTGCCTGCCGAGCAGAGGGAGTGAATGGGTTGGTTAAGTTTTGATAGGTGACAGAGGTAGGGTGGAGGGCTTTAAATGTGAGGTCAAGGATCTTGCACTCAATCCTCTGGGACGTAGGAGCCAGGAAGCTTAGTGCGGGAGAGGACATGAGCTGCAGAGTTCTGCATAATCTGCAGCTTGTGATGGGACGAGTTGGAAAGACCAGCGATTAGGGAGTTTCCACATGTGTCAAGACACCTGACTGGAACTGTGACTGCTATTCCTGTGTGTAAATTGGCTGCTGCATTCACCAACAAAATGCATGGTTATGACACTTTGCAGTAAATCCTTTGAAGGTCTTTGAGATGTTTTGACAACATAAGATGCTATATCAAATACAAGGATTAACTATCATTTCAGTGACTTTAGTTTTATAGGATTCCTTTAGTACAGGATCTGAAACTAATAAGGCTATCCCAGTTGGGGGCAGTGGTTTCGCCTGATGCCAATATGTCCTTTGATTGGAATAAGATACTTGAACAGAAAACCAAGTCCTAATACTTCCAGAGAGGGATCAAATAACTGTACGTTGGGAAGAAATTATGCTTGTAATTGACTGGGTGCATGCAGCCCTGTATTTGGTTCATTGGATGAAATCAACTCAAAAACAAACATTCCAGATTGACTTTATTGTGCAAATGCCCTCCAGCTAGAAATTTACTATAGGACGGCAGTTATGCTGTATGTTTACAACAACAAAATTACATTTGTAAAGCGCCTTTCACGTCGGGAGGACGTCTCAAGGTGCTGAACAGTCAGGGATCAGGACCCGAGCGTGGGGGCTGCAGGGTTGGGACGAGGAAGGGCAGAGAGGTAGGAGGACCGCTGAAGGCACAGTCTTGAAGGAGGCGAGGGAGCAAGGTGAAGGGATTGTGGGATGGAGTTCCAAAGGGTGGGGTCAGAGAGGCTGAAAGCCCGGCCGCCAATGGTAGGGTGGGTCGGGAGAGAGATATGGAGCAGGCCGGAGCCTGTTGAATGGAGGGAGCAGACAGGTTGATTGGGGGTCAGTGGGTGGGAGGGGGCAAGGCTGTGGATGGCCTTGAACGTGAGGACGAGGATTTTTAATTCTATCCTCTGAGGGATGGGGAGCCAGAGTGGAGTTCGGTAAGGGTGGGGATGATGGGGGCACAGAGTCTGGTGTGGGGGAGGACACAAGCTGCAGGGTTGTTCTGGATGATCTGCAGCTTGTGGAGGGAAGAGGCCGACAAAGAGGGAGTTTCTGTAGTCGAGCCTTGAGGTGACGAATGCGTGTATGAGGGTTTCGGCAGCCTGAGGGGTGAGGCAGTGGCGGAGTCGGGCAATGTTGTGGAGGTGGGGGAAGGCAGTGGGTCATGGCATGGATATGGGGAAGAAAGGACAGTTGAGGGTCCAACAAGATGCCCAGGTTCCTGACTGGCTTGGTGAGGTGAAGATTGCATCCATGCATGTTGATGTTGCCAGTGCCTGAGGTGCTGAGGGGCTGGCGAGTGCCAATCAAGAGGGTGACATTTTGCTGACATTCAGCTGTAGAAAGTTAGCTCTCATCCAGGACGTCAGTTGTCCTGGAATTGAGGGTGGAGGCAGAGAGATAATTGGATGTCATCAGCGTACATGTGGAAGTTGACCACATGTCTGTGGATGATATCACCAATGCAGAGCATGTAGAGGTTGAAAAGGAGCGGACCGAGGGCAGAGTTCTGAGGAACACGCAAGAGACTGTGCGGGGGCTGGAAGAGAAACCATTGGCAGAAACAAATTGGAGACGGTGTGATAGATAAGACCTGAACCATTCAAGGACAGAACCTTGAAGGTTGAGGTGAGAGGAGAGGCGCAGTGGAGAAGGTTTGAATGGTCCATGGTATTGAAGGCAGTAGAGAGTACCAAGAGGCAGAAGGAGCCCTGGTCACAGATGGACAGGTTTAGATATATATGCCTGCTCAGAAATTTGGATTCCATCATTTTGTATAGTTGAAGATATTTGAGGTGAAAGAAGGCATTTTTAAAAAAGAAACCTTGTCCATATTTGTATTCTTTTGGGTAATACACATGCCAGATTAAACCTCATTCAAAGAATAAAGACTTTGTCTCTAACAACAAATTACATTTGTATAGCATCTTCCACGTGGGGAGGACATCCCAAGGCGCTGGATAGTCAAGGATTTGGAATACTGTAAATCTGAAGTATCTTATGAAAGAGGTACAAAATGATGAAAATCTGAGCCATTTTTTCCCCAAATCTATCCAAAGGAACATTAGTTGAATGGAATTCAGTTTTGTTTGGCATGCTTAAGTTCTTTATAAGCTATAAAATTGTATAAACATGCTGTAAGGTACAAATGGAAAGTTCCTCCTGGTGTGATGGCCAAGTATTTACAGTGAATTTTCCATTCTGTTGAGCAGAACCAGATTTTAAAACCAGTTAACAGCATCCGCCTGTCCTACTTGAGTGCAGTTCAGACTACAGATTTGCTGTAGTTCAGTACAACAATAATTTTCATTTCTATAGATAAGAGAAGGGGAGGGGATTTATAGGCGAGGGTGAGGCCTTTGAAGTCTATCTGACTTCAAATCGATTGAGACAGGATACATACGGTGAACCCTGGCCAGACTGGAGTGATGGCAGCGTTTGGTGTGAGTGAGAATGTGGTTGGTGAATATTGTATCTGCTGCATCTGATAGATGTTGGAACTAGGATGGCTTCTGCCTTGTCCGTGTTAAGGAGCAAGAAATTGAGGCTCTTTCAGGTTTTGGTGGCTGATAAGCAAGCAAACAATATTAGTGGACCAGGTATCCAGAGCAGTGGAAAAGTAGAGTGGGGTAATGTTGACCTCTAGAGGACAGAAGTGGTACATTTGCAAACAGGGAACTCATATGGTTATGCTTGTGTTAATAATAATAATAATAATAATCCTTGCATTTGATATAGCACCTTATCACATCTTCAAGATTCTCAAAGCGCTTCACAGAATGTACTGAAAAATGAATTGACTGTATACTTTGTGGGCAAAACGCAGCAGCCAATTGTGCACAGCAGTGTCCCACAAACAGTTGTGGATTGAGTGATCACATTATTATTATTTTTGAAGGGAATTTTACTCCTGGGAAAGCAAAATGTTATGGAAATTTGACTAGGAAGTGGATTTTAATAAATGGAATATACTGTAAAGTGAATTGACTGTATATTTTGTGAGCTGGGAATCGAACCTAGGTCTCTCGCTTGCAAGGCGAGTGCTCTAAACACTGAGCTACAGGACTCCTGTAGATATATTTATTTTGACTGGTTCTTTATCCCACATTTAAAACAACCCACAAAAATACTTGTTGTCCAGTTCAGACACACTTTTCCGTAAACAAAACACAAAATACTGCAGATGCTGGAATCTGAAACAAAAACAGAGAGTTGGGAAAACTCAGCAGGTCAGGCAGCACCTATGGAGAAAGGAAAATGAGTCAACGTTTCGGGTCCATGACCTTCGTCAGAACACAGACTGGAACACAGAGCAGTATGGTTCTGATGAAGGGTCATGGACCTGAAACGTTGACTCACTTTCCTTGCTCCATAGAGGCTGCCTGACCCACTGAGTTTTCCCATCCCTCTCTGTTTTTGTTACACTTTCTCGTGTTCTGCAGTTAGTAAACTGGAATGCTAGGGCACTGCCCCTCACCTTGTTGATAGCAAAGTTGCAAAGACATGCAATTCTGGAATTGCGATCCTGTATTACTCTGAATAGTTTGCAGAGGGCTAAATAGTTTGTAAATGTTCCCTATAAGTTAATAGTAAAGTTGAATGTGCAGCAAACTGTTAATTTCCTGTTTGCTCCTATAATACTTATAGACAATATCTAATGGGCAGATTAGTTTCATATCTGATTTGAGCTGCACATGTCATAAATGTAGCCTGAATCTTTTTCTTCAATCCCAAATGAATTGACACCTTGCTCACACTCGCTCTTGAGCCTTACTTGTGAGGAACACTCACTGAAGTGAATTGCAGGTGGTGATGGTGGATCTATGAACTGTCCCTCAGCTTGAATGATGAGTCTCCTCCAAATGATTGGGGAAATAACTAACCAAAGAGCGGAATTCTGTAAAGGATGTTCACAAAGTCCTGTTACCCCCATGTTTTTTCTTACAATGCTGACCAACAACTGAAACATGTGGAAGAATAATGATAATTCTATTTAGGAGTACTTCACTGTGTTCAGTACAAGTGTTTAACTGTATTTAGACATCCAGAGGATCAGTGTTGGAGCGCCATCGTTTTCATGGCAGATAATGATCCGTCACCATGTTTGGTGCAACATCTTCCGTAACACGATGGAGTGAGGAGGTGAAATGCATTTCTGACAACTTGTTTCAGCTCCTCTGTAGTCTCGTATCACTGTTTTGTAACGGGGTAACAGGACTTTCTAGTTATTAAAATGCGGAATTTGTTGACTTGCAAGAGTACACAGTGAACTGTCGGGAGAATGGGATGTTTAGTGGGTTTTTCTGGTAACTATTCTGGGTTTGGTGCAGCATTGATGATTAGCAATACAAATGAGAATTAGGTGGCAGGTTTGAATAGCTTATCTCAGCCAGGCAACAATTAGAACCACCGAGTTCCCAGTCCTAATTGCTGTCCAGAAACTCTTTCTGGAAGATTGTGTGTGTTTGAGGACCATTTGTGATTTAGCCACACTGCCCCTTGTAGTAAATGATCCTACGCAGACAATGACAATGTCTGTCATTGTCAAGACAATGGCAACTTGGACAGTTTCTATTGTCCGGAATTGTATCCCAACAAAAGGAAAGAAAATCAAAATACCTTGAGTGGAGGGAGATGATTGGAAGACAAACAACAAGAATCCAAATGCATGCCAGAGTACGACAGAGAGGAAAACTGCGTCGGAAATAAAGAAATGGCAGACATAGTAAAACTGTAAATGCTGATAAACTTTACTGTGAATACTGTTGTAAAAATGTATTTGGGCTTCTGACTGAAGGAAATTATTATACTCCTATGCTGCCGGCTTTGCAGTCAAGTTTCTATTAATGTTAAATATGAAGTGCTCATGATTTGTATTGATCTGTCCTGGAGAAGTTGTTTTGCTTGATTGTGAGCTGCACTAACATCAGAGGATAAATTAATTCAGTACACATCAGGCTGATAATTTAGCTTTTCCGAGAAAATCTGTTTCAGGTATTTCTCACATTTTTCAGGAGTACTTTCTGTGATTAAACCAAATTAACTGAACAAATTGTTACTTGTAGATTTCCTCATTTTTACTAATTTGCTTTAAATTTGCACTCCTTCCTCTTCTCTTTGCCTCACCTCCCAAATCCTTGCCTCACCTTTAGGGAATGAGCAATTTTGATTAGGATTGTACCAAATATCTTCATTCCACTTAAGCAGATGAAATCGTATTATACTTTTATTTAAGCTTTCCTACGGATCTAAATGTTGTCAAAGGTATGACCTTCTCCATGTTTTTTTTGGTCAGCCGGGTGTGACACATGCGGAAACTATCACCATACTTAAAAGTATCAAAACCAAGTTGAGATTTCCATACATCCCACCTACACATTGAAATCCCAGAGAGAGATTGTTGGAATAGAGGAACCCATTCTGCTTACTTAATTCCTGAAAGTATTAGTCACAAGTTGGCAAGTGCCAAGGCTTGGGGACCCCAAAGTGTGTGTTGGTACTGCTGGAGTCTAACCAGCTAAAACTGCATAGCTTGCCATTGATATTGCTGTCCAGCAAGCTTTCCCGCTGTTTGTCCCGCTAGGACCACCCTACCAGTTAGGGCTTTGGCCTGCAGGATTAATGAGAGCTGAGTGGGATGATTCCCTGTCCCCAGTGACTGGTCTGCCCTTCCAGGGCCTGCCAATGAGCCAGACTGGCTGTGCTGTCATCAACAGTGCCCTGGAGTACTGCAGACCTCGCTGGCTCAGGAACCGGACTAGTGAGACTGCCACAGAGGGCTGACTTGATGTTGACATTCCATTGCCGGATAGGTTGGGGGCAGATTTAGTAAACTATAATAATAATAATAATCCTTGCATTTGATATAGCGCTTTTCACCTCTTCGAGACTTCTCAAAGTGCTTCACAGAATATACTATAAAGTGAATTGACTGTATATTTGTGGACAAAATACGGCAGCCAATTGCGCACAGCAGGGTCCCACAAACAGTCGTTGGTTGAAGTGACCAATTTATTTTTTTCTGAGGGATTATTATCAAACTAATGTAGGTTCTGAGCAGGCATCAGTTTGAGTAATATTGTGGTCATGTGGAATGACGTAGCAGCACTTTAGATTACTTGTTTGAACACAAGTCTGTTTCTCTTATTTGCATCTCAAAGGTACCAACCAATGTGGAAAAGTGCCAGGACCGCGTGGAGTGCTTCAATGCTGATCTGAAAGCAGATTGGGATCGATGGCAAAATAATAAGAGACAAGACTTCCGGCAGCTGCTGACTGGAATGTCTGACAAAAACATTCAGTATTATGAGAAGGTATTGCTTTGTGAGATGTGAGGTGGTACATTTTGGTTGAAGGAATAAGGAAGTCACATACATCCTGGAAAGTAAAAACCTAAATGGGGTAGAGGAGCAAAAGGACCTAGGGGTGCACATACACAATTCACTAAAAGTAGCAATTCAGGTTAATAAGGTCATATAAAAGTCAAACCAGGCATATTGGGGTTAATTTCTAGAGGGATAGAAATATAAAACAGGGAAGTTATGGTAAACTTCTACAGAACCTCGGTTAGACCACACTTAGAATACTGTGTGCAGTTCTGGTCCCCACATTATAGAAGGGGTGTAGAGCCACTGGAGAGGGTGCAAAGGAGATTCACAGAGATGATCCCAGAACTGAGAGGTTATATCCATCAGGAAAGGCTGAACATGCTTGGACTCTTTTCTCTTGAAAAGATGAAGGTAAGGGATGACGTGATAGAGGTCTTTAAAATGATGAAAGGTTTTGATAGGGTAGACATAGGGAAGATGTTTCCACTTGTGGGGGAGACCAAAACCAGGGCCATCAATATAAAATAGTCACAAATAGATCAAATAAGGAAGTTAGAAGAAATTTCTTCACACAGAGAGTGGTGGGAATGTGGAACATACTACCACAAGGAGTTATTCAGGCAAATAGCATAGATGTGTTTAAGGGGAAGCTAGATAAGGGAGAAAGGAATAGAAAGTTATGCTTGAAGGTTTAGTTGAGGAAGGGTAGGAAGAGGCTCATGTGGAGCATAAACACCGGCATTGACCAGTTGGGCCACATTGCCTGTTCTGTGCCGTATGTTCTAATGTATTCTAATGTATTTTGAGCTGTTTGTTTGGAATCCATGGTCTATCTTTGTTCACGTAGGCTGGTAAGTTCTCCAATGTGCTGTATAATAATAATCCTTGCATTTGATACCGTGCCTTATCACTTTGTCAAGACACCTCAAAATGCTTCACAGGATATACTGGCCCTGTGTATTTTGTGGGCGAAATGCGGCAGCCAGTTTGTGCGCAGCAATGTCCCACAAACAGCCATGGAGTGAGTGACCAATTTTATTTTGGGGATTGTTAGCCAGAACACTGGGAGAGAGAGACTCCTTTTTTCGAATAGTGCCCAAATATAGGTGACATTCTCTAGTACTGTTCAGTAAATTGAGAGATTTTCAGTAGTTCTGCAAATTCAAACCTCTATTTTGACCAACACATTTAAATCTCATGATTTGTGCCCATTGGACCTTTCTGCGAAAGGTAGCATGTTATAAATGGTGGTTCTTTTGAGCTCCTCAGTACTGACTGATTAAAATGATTTTGTCTTGCAGTGCCTTGCAGCGTGGGAATCGATTGTTCCACTCCTACAAGAGAAGCCAGATGCTAAAAGTGAAGCCCACTCCTAGTCAACTCTTTAATGTTGCTTCCTGTTTGGGCTGTTTTGCCTCTTCACTTGCCCAGTTCACAATACTGGAACACTGCACTTTGGGGAAAATCTAATCCACACAGTTTTGTACATAGCTGTAGGTAAACACCACATGTACTTGGACTTTCTGTGGAATGTGCGCACTCTGCTCAGTACAAGTTTGTCTTGTCAGCACAGTGTTATCTAAATTCACATTTGCCGTGGTTCGCTGAGTGCTGCTTCCATTCAGTACTCCAAACAGTGAAGGTGGTGTTGGAGGCCATCTGTTGATTAACATGATTGTGCTCTTTTTGGACTCTTGTTGATTTATCTTTATCACGTGCACACATCATTGGGCATTTAATATTCTGAGCATCCTGGTGTAATGGGTTGTATTTCTATGGAGCTGTTTATAGGGACTTGATAGACTTTATACAAGTGGTGATCCGAGATTGATGCAGCTGAGCTGTGGTGGATTACATATAAAAGGCTGCCAATTGCATTAGAATGAGGACAGTAAGTTAAAGATTTTATAGAAGCTAATAGTTCCTTTTCTAAAAGTAGTCCCAATGTAATTTAAGCTGACTGTCCATCTCGTGGGCGGTGCTTTTCATTTACTGATTATACCACTGAGTGAATACTAACTCATGAAAAGGTGAATCACTTGGAGCAAACCTTGTATTGGTGAAGATGTTTTCCTGCAAACATGTGTTTGAGCAATGAGGGCATAACGTGTTTAGTCTTTACCCCATGTACTTCTTGTTAGGGTTGTTTGTGGAATACAGCAGGTACCTTTTATCCAGCTGCTGACTTTGTCATTCATGTACCATTCCTCGAATCCTGATTGCCATGCCCATTTTCACAAGTCTCCCTTTTGTTTTGTGAGATTGACGTATTTCGATAGTGTCTCATATGCAAAGCATGATTCATCTTGTAAGAACTGAGGTTGTTTTATAAAGTCATGCCTTATATTAAATGTGATTGCCAAGGTTGTGTTGAGAAAGCGTCCTCACTCATAGCTATGAAGACCATCTTGTGTGTGACTAATCTGAGATCTAGGATGCTTAATGATGGTGAGATTTTCTTAACTGCCAGGTCACCCAGCAAACAAAATAGTTTTTTTTCAAAAGTGCCTTCATCATGTGATGTTTTGTATAACCCAAGAAATTTAAATTATAGCTGCTTGAGAATTTCTTTGGGCAACATTTGTAAATGTACTGAGAAATGGTCCCTGCCTGCCTTGTTTCATGGCTGCATTAAACTTTCTTAAAACCAATGGAAGAGTAACCAAGTTAAATCCAGTGAAATCTGGTTTGCTATGCCTGTTGTAATGTAATGGGATCAACATTCTCTAACGTTCTAATTGTTAGATTTTTGAATTGCATTTTTTCATATGAATGAATGCATTGCACAGCCTTATTAGGGGAGGCCATGTGGGGTAAAACCAAGATTGAAGGTGTTTTGTATTTTTGTTTACAACACTATGGTTGTGGCTTTGACTAAGTGTTGCTTCATGTGCATGATTATTGATCCCTCCTAAGTCTAACTTGTAAATAATGTAGACTTGGTGGTCTTGTACCTACTAAACCTACAGTATTAGAGCAACCCTGCATTTTGTGAATATATTAGCGCATAATTGAAGAAGGATATTAAATAGCAATCCTTTTGAGCCTAGGCTGTCTCAAGAGGTCACTTCCAAAAGTACCTGGTTGTATTCCTACAAAAGCCAAAATGATTTGCAAACTGTTTCACTAATTTCCCTCTCTCTTGAGCATGAGTTTCTTCAAAGCTTTCCTGAAGTATGATGTTAAGTTGGAACATGCAACATAGCGATTTTGGCAGCACCAACATGGGAGCAGGACCTATGTCCTCGCAGTTGGAGAGTTGTTGTGAAAAGACCTTTTTTTTTAAAGAGAGAAGGGAAAGAAGCTCCTAATCAGCACTAATGGTTTCAGGAATATACCCTTTCCCAAGGAAAATCAGAAAGAGCTCAGGGTGAGTCCCTTTGGTGACACATCAATGAATATACGAGTATGTTTCTAGAGTAACCTCAAACAAGGCTTTAAGTTATTCATTTAGAAATGTTGTTGTATTCATTACAATTCATACGTGCAGATGAAAATTGCATTTTCATGACATTTTCTAACACCAATTGATGAAATGATGAAAACTTGAGATTGATTTGTTAACCCATAAAGGTCAACATGTCTGTGGAAAATAAACTGCTAAAACAACTTTAAAATTATGTATGCAGTGAGGAAGTATAGAACCGTGTTACTAAATGTCCTCTCTCTGTCCTTCCAAGTTAACCTGGTGCTAACTGTTGACCATGGTCTTAAATTGTTTTACTGGACTTGTAGTTAAAGCTGTGATGGCCCATATTACTGAAGTGCACTTTGAATGTACTTGGAATGCATTTGTTCTGCAGAGAATGTGATGCGTAATCATGGAACTAAAATAGCTAAGTGTGTTTGAATGGTTATTACCATTGTGTCTATAAAGGAACTGGAACTGTATCTGGTACAGCAAAACCTGCCAATAGTGGTGACCTTTAAGGGATAATCTTGCTAATGGACAAATGGTATTATGTAGGAATCTGTCTGAACTATTCATTTCTAGATTTCAATGTTTCCGGATATCCCTGAGAACTTAGTTTGATCAACAAGCAATGTACAGCATGAAAACTGAATACATTCAGATTTTCTTCAGGTTCTGTGGATCATAACAGCCTTTCAGATAGTTTCTAATATAAGACTTGCAATGTCTTCAATTTATAATTATCTGTAGAATTTTGAGCCTTGCTAGTGGTTGATTTTTAAATAACTATTCCTCATTTCTGTTTGATTGATTATTGTGAATTTTAAAGTGTTCAGCTTTGAAATAAATCATGAAGGAACTAGCATACAGTAAGATTAATATTGCACACTACTAACTTTTATTTAGGTACAGTATTTAATTATCTCTTTCCGTTGCCCACCCACATGCAGATGTCTGGTCCTGTACTTGGACATCACCACTCTAGAATAGATGTCTTATCTCAGAATTAATGGCCCTGACCACTACTGAATAAATTGGAATTAAATGTTCACATTGTGGGTGTCATGGTTTGCCTTGCCTTCCAATTTATTCACAATGTTATTGTGTAATGTCTCCTTGAGCATCTGTTCAACAAACGTTTATCCAGACACCAATTCATTCCTATGTTAATGAGAAGAAAGTGCCATCTGTCATTAGGTGAGAGACGTTGACACCAGTGCTAAGAAGCTGAACTCCGTTTAGTTTGTACTGCAAAAGAAAACCCAGCTCTCTGCACGAGTCAGCCGCAGGATTCCAGGGAGGTCTGTGAAGATAAAATGCTAGATTAATATTTTAGGAGGGGAGAAAGGGGGTAGGGCAGATAGACCGGTAGGTGTTTGACATTCCCACTGCACACATCGGGAGAATATTTATTTTAATTTGAACACTTGAGTAAAGGGAATTTGGGTGTTTCCTGTAATATCCCCCCCCCCACCCCCCCGCCTCCACCTTTCCACACTGAGAGCACAGATTGGACACTTCTTCCCATGCCATAGCTGATGCCCCATTAGCACCAACTATTTGGAAGAATAGAAAATGTCCCTTCTTCACTCTGCCTTTCTCACTCTTTGTAGGCATGTGAATGGCTTTGGGATGTTTACAGACCATTACACGCATGCCTCATCATAGCTTTCACTCACTTAATTGCTTTGCCAATAATTAATACAGCAGTTTGCTGTTGGAGCTTGTTAACTTTTTCTGTTTTTTCAGCCCCTTCCAAATTTCTAGTTCTGTATGAATTAAGTGGTGCCGGGTACGTTTTTTTTACACACACACTTCCTCTCTGTACTGCTTGGCTCGGTTTAGTGGCTCTGCTGGACTGATTAAACTCTCCAGTTCAATTAACTTATTTGACTAAAGAAAGTGACATAGAACTAGCACATTTTTGTGGAGCTTTAAAGCTGTTAGGTTTCCCTTGGTTTGTGCCCTCTTTGTAAACTTCAGTCCAGAAGACAAATTGAATACCAGTTGAGTTTTGGGTTATATGTGTACAAGATTAAAAGGCTAGTTAGTGGCAGCTTTGAGTACACTTAGGAATTAAAGGTGGAGCTGTGCTGTCATGTTGACTTTTCTGGTGAATATTTTTGGGGTTCATTTTTCCTAGAACTGTAGTTGATGTTCAATGGTATGGTTTGTCTCCAGACTTTATATATTAAAAAAATGAGGCTTTGTGCAGTATGTGTTGCATTATTTAGCAGAACATAGTTTCCATCCTCCTTAAAAATAACACTGGGTGATTTATTTTGAAACCATTATTTGCACTCCTTCAAATCAGGAGTACTTGGTAATTGTGCCATTGAAAATGTCTTTTAAAATGTCACTGACCAGGTGTTAATGGTGAGGACATTTTCTTGCACAGGAATTTTAAATGATTGGACTTGTGTAGGATGTCCAACATTTCTGTGTGCGGAAGAAAACTTGCCATTCAAATAGATACTTTTCCAGTAGTTTCATGCATACTTCATGAAATACTGTCGAGTCTTCATGTTTTGTGAACTGTAAAAATATGCAGCAAGTACAGCGGGAGGGGGAGTAAACAACTTGCACATTTTTAGATACATTTTCCAGATTCCATTGCAATGCAGCCAGTTCAAAGTAGATGCAATATGTTCTGTAGTGACCAAAATAAGGGAAGCAAGTATTGATTGTTTTTTTTAAAAAAAAGCTATCCCAATAGACATTTAAGTAAATGTGAGATTCACTTCCCTTTCCACCAATTAAATGATTTGGTTTGCATGCCTATTTAAATGCAGTACATTTATTTTACCAACATTTAATAACCAATAACAGTTGTTACATCTGAAGATATTCTGACTACCTGCCTAGTTTGTGCTAAGATTGGTAACATTTCATCCATTCACTGAAAAACATCTCAGAGCAAAGATTAGAGAATATGGGTTAAATAAGGAATTTGTAATGCAAGCAATTTGAGTTTTGAAATTGTTCAAACATGCTAAAGTGTACTGTAGTGTCCATAAACCTTTTCTTAGGTGAGTTATAGTTTTTGGATGTTATTCAATGAATATGAAAACCATGAAGAGAATGATCAAAATAGTTTCCTGATTTCAGTGTTGTTAGATGACCATTGCATGTATCTGAAGTTCTTCAATAAGGGAGAGACCATCTCTTGATATTGATTCCCATCCCCTTTTCCCAATCACAAAACAGGACAGATGATATTTCAGATCTAGTGGAAGCTACAGAATAGTAGTGAGAATGTTTCTCCTTGCCTCCACCCGACTCTGTGCCTACCCACATTTGCAATTGACTGCCTGGTGGTTGAGGATTTGTAGCCATGGTCGGGATTTTACACCAGAAAGAGAGAATAGGATGGTGTCTATCTTCCAAAGCCTGTAGTCCAATAATCTTGTTTCCATTATTCTGACTGAGATGGCCGATTCATAGAAACATGATCCTAATACTGACTATTAAACTGAGCTGGGATGGATAAGAGGGATAGCATTTATCCATCTTAAGTAAATGTCAGTTTTCTTTTTGTTGCTGTAGTAAAAAGGACAGCATACATGCCCAGTGCTTTGAGAAACTGAAAATGTTGTTGCCTCCAACTTAGGTTCCTGACTTCATTTTTTCTGAGGACCGTGTTTGTGTGTTACCTCAGCCTGTGGCTCTGCTTGTCCACTATATCAACTGCTGAGGTAGAGTTGATGTTTGCTACTTACAATTGAAAAATTAGGGTCAAGATCTGCAATTATTTAACTGAACAAATTGTCCTTGCCCACCATTTAATGAAAGTCCTTAATCTATTTAGCTACATTCGTGTTCTGAGAATTTGGGGAGTGTGGGGGGGGAATGTAGATATGAGCCTCACATATTATGAAGAATTGCACATTCATATATGGGCCTACAGTTACAAGCACTGCTTTCAAGTCATTGCTTTTACTTGCCAATATAGTATCTCAATTCAACTTGCCATTGAAACTTTCATGTGATCAACACTAATTGAGAGCATTTAATTGAGAGCCAGCTCCTGTGTTTTCAGTGAGCTGAAATCATCAGTTGCTTGGCCTTATGTGCTGAAACTGTTTTTGAGGAAGCATTTGCTATTGTGTCTGACTGCATTTCAAATGTTAACATGACAGGAGTATTTTTGCATTTTTATTTACAACTAAAATAAGCAGGTGGCTTGGAAAAGTGGAAAAGTACACCTACAATGTACAGTGACTGCACTTTACAGTACTGTGAAGCACTTTGAGTGTTTTAACATGATCAGGTACTATTTCAAATGCAAGGATTATAAAGGATGGGAATTCCCTAATAAAACCAGACAGATTCCAGCACTGGAATTTCATAATGCATTCATGTGCTTTAACCAGCAGATTACTGTTTTGTTTCTTTGATGGAGGTTTGATTGTAATACTTTTTTGTGGGGGAGAGGAGAAAACACATCTGTGAATGTTGAATACAATATTAAAGTTCTACATTTAAGCTTTTTTTTTCGATGTTTTTTTTGCACTAAATGCTTTGTATAATGGATTGGCAGAGCTGTAAAATGCTGCCCATTTGAAGTAGAAAATAGTTTTCTCCGATGCAATTTGTAAACTTTTATTTGAAGTTGTACTACATTGGTTATGTGTTGAAACCTTAGCATCTATTTGGCTGCCTTCTAGCTATAGTAAATTCTTGTGCTGTACTGAAGCTACTCACTACTCTTCCTACAGTTTTATTGGCTGGCTGTATATTTACTGTTCTGCACCTGTGATGCTAGTCAGTTTAATTTTGCCCTAAGTGATATGTGGTTGCATTTGTTTGCGATGGGACATGTATAAACTGTATGTACATTATATAAACTAGTTTGGAAAAAAAACTACAAAATGTTGCGTATGTTTTTGATATTGCAATTATCTTTACCTCAACTGATTTTAAATATTGGACCAATAAAATATAAAGCATTTAAGTGTTCTGTTGTATTTCATGATTAACAATTGCCAATGGGCTTTGTTGCTGCCAGATAGGTTTGAAATGTGATCACTGGCAGAATATGTAACTCCACCACCCCCCTCTTTCCCCATCAACTTCTGATTGATTCTCTCATCTCCTTTGTAGTGTTACCAGGGTGGTGATCCATTCCTGACTGCTACTAGATTTCGCTATCCCTAACAAATAGTCTGAGAACAGAGAATTAACTTTTCCACTCAGCCCATTGTAGTTAAATTATCTGAGCAGGAGCTCAGATTGCTTGGAACCACTGGCGAGACCGTATACATAATGACTTGGACTCAGATATAGGAGGTGAGGTCTCAATTGCAGATGATGCAAACTACGAAGGGGGAGGGGGGTCGGCATTGTAAACAATGAAGAGGAATACAAGGCAAAACCTAGCAGCAGTGGCAGACAGGTTGCAAATTAAATTTAATACAGGAAAATAATAAGTAATTCACTTCTGCTGGGGGGGGAAAAAAACATTTATTGCCTAGATCAGTGGTGGCCAACCTTTTACGTCAGCTAACCAACTAATTTTTTTCTTGATTGATTTTTTTCTTCAAAAATCCATCCTCGATCCCTCTAGCTACCATATCATTACGAACTTGCCTTTCCTTGCTAAAGTTCTGGAATGCATTAATAATAATAATAATAATAATCCTTGCATTGTGGAGTCCTGTAGCTCAGTGGTTAGAGCACTCGCTTTGCAAGTGAGAGACCTGAGTTCAATTCCAGGCAGGGCAAATCCTTGGGCAAGTTTCCTTACTCCACATGCCTAATAATCCTCCAAAACAATAATAAATTGGTCATTTTCAATCTACGACTGTTTGTGGGACATTGCTGTGCGCAATTGGCTGCCGAGTTCGCCCACAAGTATACAGTCAAATCACTTTACAGTGTGTTCTGTGAAGCGCTTTGGGACATCCAACGTGAAAAGCGCTATATCAAATGCAAGGATTATTATTATTGCATTTGATATAGTGTTTTTCATGTCTTCTCGACGTCTCAAAACGCTTCACAGAATAGACTGTAAAGTGAATTGACCGTATATTTGTGGGCGAAACATGGCAGCTGATTGCACACAGCAGTTATTATTAGATTATTGCAAATCAACTTGACTCACATTTCCACTCCCTATTCGAGCACCACTAGTCTGGTTTCCACTCTGCCCACAACACAGACAATGCTTGTCAAGGTCACAAATGACAGAGAAAGAGAGATGTTCTGTGACCAGGACTTCCTCTGCCTACTTGTCCTCCTGGACCTCTCCGCTGTAGTTGACACAGTCAATCACACCATCCTCATTCACTGCCTCTTCATCATACACCTCAGTGGGACCGCAGTCACATGGTTCAAGTCTTACTTAACCAACCGCCATCACTTTGTATCCACAAACATTTTTTCCTCCTGCCCTCACCCACCCCAGTAACCTGTGGCATACCGCAAGGCTTTATCCTTGGCCCCCTTTCCTCATTTAAATGCTCCCTTTTGGCGATGTCATCCGCAGAAATGAAATACACTTTCACATAACTGAACGTCAACAAGACGGAAGCCATATTCCTTGGCTCCTGTCGATGTCTTCTCTCCTGTGGCTTTGACCTCCTCAACCTCCCAGGCCTTTCCCTAAGATCAACCGAACCTGTACCCTAACTCTGGGCGTATGGTTCAATCCTCAGCTTTCCTTCCTACCCCACATCCGGTCCCCAATGAAGTCCGCTTTCCTCCACCTCCGCCACATTGCCCACCTCCGACCAAACCTTACCCCAAACGCAGCTCAAACCCTCGTCCATGATTTCATCACTTCCTGCTTTGACTATTCATGCCATTCTCTAACTGTCCACAAAATCCAACAAATTCAGAACTCTGCCATCTGTATACTACCCGACTCTAAACCATACCCCCATCACACTAGTCTAGTCTCACACCTCACTAGTCTCCACTGGCTCACCATCACAGAAAGGATCAATTTCAAGATCCTCACATCTGTCTACAAATCCCTTCACATCCTGCGTACTCCCCACTCTGCCACCTCCGCTCGGCTATCCCTGGCCTCCAGCTCATCTACTCCGCTCCACCATCAGCGGCCGTGCTTTCAGCCATGATGTCCTGAAACTTTGGAACGCTTTGCCTTTCCCCTCCTTCCCCTTTTTCAAATCATGCCCGAAGACCTTCCTCTTTGACCGATCACCCCCCCAACCACCACCACCTCCAGCTCGGTGTAAAATGCCCGAGCCACTGCAGTTTAATACTTGATGCAGCTTCCACATTATCAGTTCTATCCAGCTCTTATAAAAATGCTTTTCTAAAGTAATCAGCAATCTCCTCAAAGCCTCCTCTTTGCTCATGCCCTCGGTGCCTTATACATTTCTCTCACCTCTTGTTCTGTGTTTCCCCAGTCCTATTTCTAAAGCATTTTGATCATATTCATTGAACCAGATGTTCCCAGAAATAATGTATGCAAGGTGGAAATGTTGGTTTCTAAGGTAACCAACCACTTGGCATGAAAAATTATTCAAGGATCTCTCTATGTTGAATGAATGCCATGGTTGCAGAGCAATAGTTGATCAAGGCTAAATTAACTCAGTTTGTTTTTGTTATTAGCGGCTGATTGAAATGGAAATACAGCAGAGTATATTTATTTGGCTACAAATTAAGATAGGTTACAGTCCTAGAAATATGTAACTAGTGCACACAATCAGTCAAACATCATGAAGCCCACTTTGTGTTGCTTGACAGGAGAAGCAGAGTGCACTGTGCAATCATTTGTTTCATATAAGCTTTGTTGAGATGTTCCCCCGTTGTGAAAAGTAACATGTAAATTGTATTGTTAGCGGGGCTGCTGAGTTGTGTATCATATACTTTACAGTTGTTAGATATCATCCAGTGACTATCCTCTGAGGGGGGAGGTAATCATGGTCTCCTTGGAACTAAACTGGGCAACAGAATGTCAGAAACGAACCAACTCTCTGTGGCGGTCTTGAGTCAGATGTGTCCTAAGTACTATTGTAAGGGCACTGCTGATCACAGCCCAGCCAGCCTGGCACATTGATAGGGCTTGGAGGGTTTACTAGAGGCAGGAATTTGTCTCACTCAGCCCTGTAATTCTGCCTTTCTGACTCTTTGAAAGAACTATCCAACTTATCCCACTCACTCACTGTTCATAGAATCATAGAATCTTACAGTACAAAAAGAGGCCATTCGGCCCATCGAGTCTGTGTCGGCTCTTTGGAAAGAGCAATGCAATGCCAATCCCACGCCCCAGCCCTTTCTCCATAACCCTGCAAACCCGTCCTCCTCAAATACCCGTCCACTGCGTTTTTAAAAGTAGTTATCGAATCGGCCTCGACCACCCTTTCAGGCAATGCATTCCAGATCTCAACAACTCGCTGCATGAAAAAAATTCTTCTCACCCCCCCCCTAGAAACTATTTTAAATCTGTGACCTCGAGTCACTGACACACCCACCAGTGGAAACAGTTTTTCCCTTTCTAACCTATCAAATCCCCTCATGATTTTGAAGACCTCTATCAGGTCTCCTTCTCTGCTCCAATGAGAATAATCCCATCCTCTCGTGCCTTTCCTCATAATCAAGGTCCCTCATTCCTGGTACCATCCTTGTAAATCTCCTCTGAACCCTTTCCAATGTCTTAAAATCCTTCCTATAGTGCGGTGCCCAAAACCTGGCGCAGTACTCTAACTAAGACCTAACCAGTGTTTTATATAGGTTAATCATAACTTCCTGACTCTTGTACTCTATGCCCCTATTTATAAAGCCTAGTATTGCATTTGCCCTTTTTACAGCTTTATCTACCTGTCCTTCCACCTTCAAGGATTCATTTACCTGAACCCCCAGATCTCTCTGTTCCTTCAACCTCCCTTAAGATTGTATTATCTCGCCTGTATTGCCTTTCCTCATTGTTTCTTGCAAAATGCAATACCTCGCATTTCTCCACATTGAAATTCATCTGCCATGTGTCTGCCCATTTTACCATTCTGTCTATGTCTTCCTGCAGTTGGCTCCTATCCTTCTCACTGTTTACTATCCTACCTAACTTTGTGTCATCCGCATACTTGGAAATGGTACTTGCTATACCCAAGTCCAGATCATTTATATATATATATTAAGAAGAGCAGTTGTCCTGATACCGATCCCTGGGGGACGCCACTGTCAGAAAAGCAGCTGTTCACCACTACTCTCTGCTTTCTGTTTCTGAGACAGTTCTGGATCCATGCTGCCACTGTCCCTTTTATACCATGGGCTTCTATCTTTCTTACAAGTCTTTTATGCGTCAAATGCCTTTTGAAAGTCCATATAAACTACATCAACTGCACTACCTTCATCCACCTTCTCCGTTTCCTCATTGAAAAATTCTATTAGATTTGTTAGACAAGATTTGTCTTTAACAAATCCGTGATGGCTGTCCCTAATTAACCCATAGCAGAGAGTTGTGATCATAACAACTCACTGCATTAAAAATTCTCGTCTCCTCTCTAGTTGGGACGTCCTCCCAACGTGAAAGGCGCTCTATAAATGCAATCTTGTTGTTGTAATTCTTTTGCCAATTATTTAAAATCTATTTAAAATTATGTCCTCTGGTTACCAACCCACGTGCCAGTGAAAACCATGTCTCCTTATTTACTCTATCAATCAACCTCATAACTTTGAATCCCTCTATTAATATATTAATTAGTATATTCTGTGAAGCACTTTAAGACGTCCAGAAGACGTGATAAGGTGCTATATCAAATGCAAGGATTATTATTATTACATCGTATTGCCCTATTCTAACTTGCTCAACTGCCATTTTTTCAACATCAACATTTAAAAAAAAGTATATAATAATCCTTGCATGTGATATAGTGCCTTATCACGTCTTGGAGACGTCTCAAAGCGCTTCACAGAATATTCTGTAAAATGAATTAACTGTATATTTTGTGGGTGAAACGTGGCAGCCAATTGCACATAGCAGTGTCCCACAAACAGTCGTGGATTGAGTGAACAATTTATTATTATTTTTTGAAGGAATTATTACGAACTGCCAATCGACTAACAACCGAGTTCCTACTTACTGCTAGGTAAACAGAGTAGTAAGGAAGCTTGTCCAACGTTTCGCCCTGCCGGGAATCGAACCCAGGTCTCTCGCTTGCAAGGCTACTGCTCTAACCACTGAACTACAGGATTCCACATATTTAATTGTTGGAGGAAACTTACACCTTTTTCCAGTTTTTTTTTCTTGCCTTGATCAGTCAAAGAGGGGATGAAATCCACACTCCCCACAGTCCAGAATAAATTCTTAAGTGATTGCATAATATATTGTAAATCCAAATTTCAGAGGAGTCATCCAGAAAAGTCTCCCCTCTTTTATCTTCCCCCTCAATAGTCCTGTTAATTTTTAAGTGAAACACCATGCTTTGGACAAAGTTGGAGAAGAAGTGAAATACATTCCTTTAGTATCAGATTGATTCAGTTGGTAACACTTCTTGTGTCTGGATCAGAGGTTTGGGGTTCAAGCCCACCTCAGTCCTTAGTCTCATGGTCCAGGTTGATGTTCCAGTGCCATGTGCTGTGGGGCTGTTGTATCATCAGAGGCGGTGTCTTTCAAATGAGATGTTATTTCCGGGTGATGCTCTTAAAGAGATCATAAAAGGGACAGACTCCAATACAATCAGCGTCTCTGATCTATTATTGAAAATCTTCTCATAGAAGTTCCTGGGTAATGCAATAATACTTTCCAATCAATAATAATAATAATAATAATCCTTGCATTTGATATAGCGCCTTATCACGTCTTCTAGACGTCTCAAAGCGCTTCACAGAATATACTGTAAAGTGAATTGACTGTATATTTGTGGGCGAAACGCGGCAGCCAATTGCGCACAGCAGTGTCCCACAAACAGTCGTGGATTGAAGTGGATCAACCACGAAGGATGAGTCTTATGTAGTCCCCACTACATTTTAGTTTCCCTAAAATTTCTACAAGATGTATGTCTGCAGATTTCTTTCGAATGACAAGTTCTACAATCGCCCCCCACCCCACCCTCCCCCTCCCCCTCCCCCAACCCCAACCCAATTTTCATGTTATTATTTTTTGATGCTGTTGTATTTCTATTCAGAAAATTAAAAATAAACGTTAACAAATCTCTGATCAAATATCAGGAGACGTTCCAAATCCGTTCGGTTTCCTCGGTCGATCGAGAAAGAAGGAATATATTTTTGGGGTTTAAAATAAGAACAGCGAGAGGGGAAAACAGCTAAAATAACATCAGGGACATGGAAACAACTGAGTGTGTAAATGAGGACCATGTGGACAGTGCAGTGAGGGCTGCACCTGCGGTGGTGGTGAGGAGGTGAGAGGCTGAGGCTGGCGGTTGCCAGGGAACCAGAGCCATTAGCCCGGAGCCGGGGACAGCGCGGAGCAGCTCTCACCCCCACCCCAGGCCCGGCCCCGCCCCGCCCCGCCCGCCCGCACTCCCTCCCTCCTCACCGCACACAGGGCCACACTCAGCTCAGCTCAGCTAACATGGGGGTCCGGGTCCTGGAGAATCAGGTGAGTAAATACCCCCTCACCTCACCCACTACCCCCCCCCACCCCGGCCACTACCCCCCCCCCCCCCGGGCCACTACCCCCACCCCCCCGGGCCACTACCCCCACCTCCCACCCCGGGCCACTACCCCCCCCACACCCCGGGCCACTACCCCCCCCCCCCCCGGGCCACTACCCCCCCCCCCCCGGGCCACAGCCCCCACACCCCGGGTCACTACCCCCCCCCACCCCGGGCCACTACCCCCCCCCGGGCCACAGCCCCCCCACCCCCCCGGGCCACTACCCCCCCCCCACCCCGGGCCACAGCCCCCCCCCACCCCGGGCCACTACCCCCCCCCCCCCACCCCGGGCCACAGCCCCCACCCCACCCCCCCGGGCCACTACCGCCCCCCCACCCCGGGCCACAGCCCCCCACCCCACCCCGGGCCACTACCCCCCCCCCCGGGCCACTACCCCCCCCCGGGCCACAGCCCCCCACCCCCACCCCGGGCCACTACCCCCACCCCCTCCCCGGGCCACTACCCCCCCCCCCACCCCGGGCCACTACCCCCCCCCCCGGGCCACTACCCCCCCCCCACCCCGGGCCACTACCCCCCCCCGGGCCACTACCCCCCCCCCCCACCCGGGCCACAGCAGCTCTCGGCGGGTCTGAGAGGGTGAGAGAGATGGGGGTACAGGAGGCTGTCAGTCACTGAGAGACAGTCAGTCAGTCAGACACTGTGTGTGTGTGTGTGTTAGCCTGTGTGTGTGTGTGTGTTAGCCTGTGTGTGTGTGTGTGTTAGCCTGTGTGTGTGTGCGTGTTAGCCTGTGTGTGTGTGCGTGTTAGCCTGTGTGTGTGTGTGTGTGTGTTAGCCTGTGTGTGTGTGCGTGTTAGCCTGTGTGTGTGTGCGTGTTAGCCTGTGTGTGTGTGTGTGTTAGCCTGTGTGTATGTGTGTTAGCCTGTGTGTGTGTGTGTGTTAGCCTGTGTGTATGTGTGTTAGCCTGTGTGTGCGTGTTAGCCTGTGTGTGCATGTTAGCCTATGTGTGTGTTAGCCTATGTGTGTTAGCCTATGTGTGTGTTAGCTTGTGTGCGTGTTAGCTTGTGTGTGTGTGTGTTAGCCTGTGTATGTGTTAGCCTGTGTGTGTGTATTAACCTGTGTGTGTGTGTGTGTTTTAGCCTGTAGGTGTGTGTTAGCTTGTGTGTGTGTGTGTGTATTAACCTGTGTGTGTGTGTTTTAGCCTGTAGGTGTGTGTTAGCTTGTGTGTGTGTGTTAGCCTGTGTGTGTGTGTGTATTAACCTGTGTGTGTGTGTGTGTGTTTTAGCCTGTAGGTGTGTGTTAGCTTGTGTGTGTGTGTTAGCCTGTGTGTGTGCGTGTTAGCCTGTGTGTGTGTGTGTTCATGTTAGCCTGTGTGTGTGTTAGCCTGTGTGTGTGTTAGCCTGTGTGTGTGTGTGTTAGCCTGTGTGTGTGTGTGTGTGTTTTAGCCTGTAGGTGTGTGTTAGCTTGTGTGTGTGTGTTAGCCTGTGTGTGTGCGTGTTAGCCTGTGTGTGTGTGTGTTCATGTTAGCCTGTGTGTGTGTCAGCCTGTGTGTGTGTTAGCCTGTGTGTGTGTGTGTTAGCCTGTGTGTGTGTGTGTGTGTGTTAGTGTGTGTGTGTGCGTGTTAGCCTGTGTGTGTGTGTGTGTGTGTGCGTGTTAGCCTGTGTGTGTGTGTGTGCGTGTTAGCCTGTGTGTGTGTGTGTTAGCCTGTGTGTGTGTGTGTGTTAGCCTGTGTGTGTGTTAGCCTGTGTGTGTGTGTTAGCCTGTGTGTGTGTGTGTGCGTGTGCGTTTGTGTTAACCTGTGTGCATGTGTATGATAGGGGAAGTGGTTGGGCTGAAGGGGAGAACCTTAGGTTATACTGTAATCTCTCCAACCCGCACAATGCATTCTGTTTGCCTTTCCAGTGAACTCTCCGTGATGGCAATAGTGGATATGAAAGTGTTTGGGGAGGGGGAAGGTGAAAGTATTTTAGCAGCGGTGATCTGGTCTCTCCCTTTAGTTTGCGCTCGCCTTTCAATTGACATTTGGCCTAAAACCTTTATTAAGATTATTCAAATTAAAAACTGCCTCAAGCTCTTTCTTAATACAGATTTTCATTGCTCATTTCAAGATGTGTTGTTGACATCATGACTCTTTAAAATGTTAAAGGTTTGAGTGGCAAAATGCTAAAATGTTTCTTAGGAGTCGATTTACGAGAACTACATAATAATTTCAATATCAACCCTGTTCAAGAAGGTACAATTTTTTGAACTGTTTCATATTGTTCGCCCACAAAATACACAGTCACTTCACTCTTCAGTATAGCTTGTCAAATGCTTTGAGATGTCCTCCCAAAATATCATGGAAAGATTATTATTATTATCACCTTAATGCTTATAAAACAACCCTCATTCAGTAATACAGGGTACTAGGCATATCATTAATTGTGTGTTTTAAAATCACAGCCTTCATATAGAGGGAAGGTATTTAAAAAATCTCTGGAAGTCAGTAATGACCTTAACATTTTTGGCAAATGTAGAATAAATTGCTAGTTTAGGTTTATATGATTTTTCATGGTGACGATGGATCAACTTGTGGAAAGTGATGCTGTGAAGGTTGAACAGCAGCTTTAACCTTTGAAAACGATGCTGTTCATGCGTTTGTTTTTAATGCTGAGATAGTTCAAGTGGAAGGTGCTCAGGCAGACCTTGCAAAGAGAGAAGTTATTATGGGTGATTATTATTATTATTATGGGTTATTATTATTGAGGGCATATGATTGGTTTTTTTTTGCCCAGTTTTTAAAAACATATATAATTGATGTTGTATAAATGTGCTGCCACAAATGGTGGCATCAAGGTTACTTGTTGTATCTTCAAATACTCCTTGTGTTTGTTTTCTTTCTTTGAATGTGAGACTTGAAGTGGGCGTAGCATTGTGTATAAATTAGGCAAAACAACCCAGTATTCACAACCTGAATTTTGATCAGAAGCTGAATGGCTCTCAGTAGTGCTGAACAGAATGTTTTCTTCCCCTTTTGATGTTTCCATCAGTGGCTGCAGCTTTCCTGAGGTTGAGGTTCAGCACTGAATAATAATAATAATAATCCTTGCATTTGATATAGCGCCTTATCACGTCATTGAGATGTCTCAAAGCACTTCACAAAATATACTGTAAAGTGAATTCACTTTATATTTTGTGGGTGAAGCTCAGCAGCCACTGACCACATTATTATCCCTGGAAAAGTGATTCGCCAATCGACTGACAACCAGGTTCCTGCTCACTGCTGGGTAAACAGAGGTGTGTGGAGTAAGGAAACTTACCTGTTGAATCAAAGTGAGGCGAGCACGCTAACCACTATACTACAGGACACTTGAATTCAAAGAAATGTAAATGAAATGTAACCTTAGCCTTGAGGGAGAAATTTTTTCAAAATAATACACTTAAGTTTTGCCAAAATTATATTTTCCTCCATAATGTACCAATATTATTTTAGCCCTGAGGTAGTTCAAGTGTCAGATTCTACCAATATTGCAAGGTTTTGAACATCTAGGTTTCCTTACTCCATCCCCCTCCCCTCACCACCACCCCTCCTCTGTTTACCTAGCAGTAAGTAGGAACCCGGTTGTTAGTCAATTGGCGGATCGTTTTCAGGGATAATAATCCCTTCAAAAGTAAATAAATAAATAATAATTTGGTCACTCAAATCCCAGCTGTTTGTGGACACTGCTGTGCGTAACCGTCCGCAAAATATACAATCACTACACTTTACAATATATTCTTTGAAGCGCTTTGAGACGTCTCAAAGACGTGATAATGTGCGATATGAAATGCAAGGATTGTCATTATTATCTGCATCCCCTCAAAGTAGAAACGTACAATTCATGCTTTATCTGTACACCTTTTTTCTTCAAATTTTGTTTAATGAACATATGAACATATGTTTATGTACTGTTACGTGAAGGATATTACGTCAGTAAGTATTGTCGCTGATTCTTCTCCCGCACTCATTTGGTAAGTCCAGTTTCTCCCAATGTTTGCTGTCCTCACCGTTTAAAGGAATACTCCCAGAAAGTGAAGGGAAAAGATTTTAGAGTTAATTGCAATTCTTTATAACAATTTATATGAATCCTCTTGTTTTATGTAGGCCTTGGCACTTGGAACATTGAGAAGACTTGCATAAATCTTATTTTCTTTGTTTTACAATTACTGTATTAAAAAATAGGCATGAATGTTGCTGATCAATCGGTTTGCAGTTTGCAACCCCACAGCTTTATTCTCATATAGCTCAAATTGGAGAATAACTTCCTGATAGCTTGTCACTGAGTTCACAAGAATATAAACCTATTGGAAGGCCTTCTCCATTTGATAAGATCACATGCTTTGCCCTGGCTACTACAATCAGTTAGGCTCCAGGAAAAACAGACCTGGCTTGCCCATCGGCCTTGTAAGTGAAGTGTACTTACATGGAGGAGTGGCAGTGATTGCAATTTTTGTGCTGTTTCTCTTTCAGAAAGATTTTGAAATGGTGCTGAAGGAGGCTGGATGTAGATTAGTGGTAATTGACTTCTCAGCAACATGGTGTGGACCTTGTAAAGTCATCAAACCGCGTTTCCATGTAAGTATTGGTAAAATTATAATCCACGCACTGACATTTACAGTACGACGCTGTTTGAATTTCCAAAACAGTAAAATAATATGTTTCTGTATGTCAGCACAGCCAACATTATGAATTTGATGATCAAATTCTAATCAATGTTAACTTGCATCAGAAATTCTCTAAATTAGCTATTTTTAATAATTGCTCTGTAAGCGTATCCTTTCTTTCTGCAGTTTGAAAAGTATTCCCCCCCACTCCTCCAGAGTTCCTTCTGCCCCAAGTCTAAGGTGGTTTAATGCCCAGTGTTTATTATTGCTACTCTATAGCTGGGGAGGGCATCGAAGAGCTCCAATAACTACTTCCCTCACTCTGTATGAGGACAAGGGTCTTCTTTCCCCTACTTTGCTGTTCACAGAAACTCAGGGAAGATCAGAAAATCTGCACCATAACAATTGTGATGTGACAATTCCTGCACTGTTTTCTGAGTTACACATCATACATATATATTTTGAAATTAAATATAGTGTTGGAGTGAGGTGGAATTACTCTGATTTTCACACTTTAATGTCTAATCATTACATAGAATCTGCATTCCATACAGTAAATATTGATCATAGTTAATTATAATAATCTTAGCATTTGATATAGTGCCTTATCACATCAAAATGTGTCAATGAGCTTCTGCAAAGAAACAGCAATGTCTCTCAAACAGCCTTGAACTGAACAATTAGTCTTTTTTTAAATTGGGGGATTGTTGGCCAGGAATCCACTCCCCTTTTATGGATTATTTAACGTTCACCTGAACAGGCTGATGACTGTTGCCTTATGTGTGGGTTTACCCAAGAAAGAACCAACACTATGCAATTTGTGTATCCTTCAAACAACAAGATACTGTAAATTTGCAAAGGTTTCTTAGTGAGCCTCTTACTACAGTACTGACATTTCTATTTGAAGGGTTTATTAACTGTGAAAACTGTGAAGAATGACAAATGTAAGAGCTTTGCTCAGTTTCCCCGGAAAATTGCTTGCTGACTATCATCTTGCCGGTATATCAAAGCCTGATTCAGTTGTGAAATGGGGCAGCATTGTCAATAAAATACAGTTGGATCCAATAGCTTGACTATGAACTTCCAATGCGATATTTGTTGATTCGCATTTTGTTAGTCATATAACAATAAGCCTTGCACCTCCAACTGTTGGAACCATTGTTCAATAGGAAGGGATGTGTGCCAGAGTTGTCGACAGGAAGATGGTGGCAATACTCACACACACTTCATGCTGAGCTGTATTGCTCACCAGGAAGCTCGCAGGGAGTTCCTGGTACCTACTGTTCACCTACTCAGTGAGGGCTCAAACCTGCACTTGCCAGATGTCAAATTACCAACTTGTGACTATCCTCTTTGGGTGGGGGGGAGGTAAGTGGGTTCTCCTTGGAGATGAATTGATTCCAAGGTGACATGTTTGGCCACGAAATGTCAGAATCGAGCCAGCCCTCTGTGGTAGTCTCAGTAGTCCAGTTTCTGAGTCAGATGGGTCCACAGTATCCCAGGGCACTGCTGATGAAAGCACAGCCAGCCTGGCTCATCGGCAGGCCAGTCACTAGGGGCAGGGAATCATCCTACTCAGCTCCTGTTAACCCTGCAAGTCAAAGCCCCAACAGGTAGGGTTGCCCTAGTTGGACAAACAGCGGGAAAGTTTGCCAAACAGTGATATCAGTAGCAAGCTATGCAGTTTTAGCTGGTTAGACTCCAGCAGAACCCTAACACACACTCTGGGGTCCCCAAGCCTTGGCTCTTGCCAACCTGCGCTTAATACTTTCCGGAATTAGGTAAACAGGATGTGTCCCTCCAGGGAGAGAGTGAGCATTGCATTCCAACAATCTCTCTCTGGGATTTCCATGTGTAGGTGGGATGCATGGAAATCTCAGCTTGGTTTGGATGCTCTTAAGCATAGGTTAATGGGTCAGACACTAGGCTGACCAAAACTGCTTCACAAGATTTACAGTGAAGTGTCATGATGTGAATGACCAATATTATCTTAGGGATTGTTGGCTAGGATACTGGGAAAAATTCCCTTCTCTTTTCAAACAGTACTATGGGATCTTTAAAGTCCACCTGAACAGGCAAATGGGATCTTAGGTTAACGTCTCATTCGAAGGACAGCATCTCTGACCATGTAGCACTGCATTGGAGTGTCAATCTAGACTATGAGCTGAAAGTCATAGCTTGGAGCTTGAACTATAATCTTCTGATTCAAACTTGCCCTTTGACTCCTGAAGGCAGCAACTTGTGACAGGGTACATTTGCACAACAACTCTGGTTTGGCAGTTAGTATTGATTTATTTTTATTCAAAGTACATTTATTTGTTGATATATATTTACACTTGTCTCGGACAGTATCAAACCCGTTACAGAAATGAAGACGCAACACGTTATTATCCCGTTACAAAACACAACAGACCCGGCCCCTTGTGGCGAGGGGGTTGCCTCTGTGCACTACACTTTGATGAAGTGACCAAGGCTTTCCCACCTCAGGGTTCTGACTCCCTTTGCAGGGCGCAGTTAAAAATGGGGTCTTGTACTCCCCTCCCTATTCCTCCCATCTTAGTGGGGAGTGTGGATAGGTTCACAGCACACAGGTTGGCACGCATTTTTTTGCGACGCTCCCTTTAGGACAGTCAGGAAACGCCCCTGTGTACATTACCTCCACGTGCACGCCTGCACACAGCCTGATAAGGCACACTTGCCGCTTTTGGATGGCATACCAATGTGCACTGTAAGCACATGTGTTTACCCAAACACACACCCAGAAACCTTGCAAACACATACACTATACACCCAACCAGTCCCACCCCAGTCACTGCGGCGTCCCTGCCAAGGTTCTGTTCCCTTTTTCTACAGGAGCATCCCAGCGAAGTCCATCCTCTGCTGAACTGGCACCTACAGGTGTGCTTCCTACAAAATGGGGAGGGGGGCACATGGTGTAGAAATCAGGAATTGTAAATCTGGTTGTTCCGAATTTCCTTTTCTCCCCCCCACCCCCCAGCCTGTGGATGCAAAACCCAATTAGTTTTTTTTGCCCTCTTAGGAACTGGCAGAGAAAAATCCAACTGCAATATTCTGTGATGTTGACGTGGATGATGCAGCGGTAAGCAGAAGCACCAGTGACCAGACATTTCAGATGAAGCTTAATTAAATGCATAGATCAGAAGTTTTCATTCATGTCGGTTTGTCAACTTCTTTCTTAACTCCAACCATCTGGCTAAGATCAAATGTAGTATCTATTATTAGCTACTCCTTGAACTAGCACCTGCCAGAAAAGTTCTACTGATGTTCTTTTGTGAGGGGCTAACGCAACGAAGCTCACCATGAGAAGGGTGAGCTCCTGGCAACAGCTATGGTTTCAGCCCTCTGTTAGTTGGGATCGGTATTGCAGCACTTCTGATGTGAGGCGCGTGATCTGCCCTCACAGAGAGGAACCTATCCACACTGGAACACAGAACTACTTTGAGCACTTGTTCACTAGGCTCAGGCTGGGCTTGTTCTGCCCGAGAGATGATCCCGTTACCTGACTTGCTCGGGTGGTTGTGAAGATATGGTTCAGGTTCGCATTGTCCTTTGACAATTTGGAGCCTAGAAGAGTTTGGGGGGATTGGAACTTGTCTGCGGGGACAACCCTCGTTTACCTAAGTGGAACGCATTTGGTCTATTTTGGTTAATGGGGGTGAGCAGGTCTGACCTCGCTCCAGCTCTGTCACCTGCGTTCATGAGACATAAACTAATGAGCCCATTTCATTTTTCAAAGCAGGTTCTTATTATAAAAGCTACAATTTATCAAAGAAGGCAAAGGATCTTTATTTTAAGGATAAATAGTAATAATAAATAAAATTAATCCTTTCAAGTTGGGAAGACAACCCAAAATTCTTCAAAAGATATACTGTAAAGTGAGAATTACATATTAATACATTAAAATATGAATGTATTAAATATTAATATTAAACATTTATGTTAAATATTAAACCTACTAATTTTGAAACTTGCTCTTCAGTTTTTGTAAACAGCTGATGTTTACATTTTTTAAAAAATCTAGTGACGGTGAACTTGCAGAGCTCCAAACTAATGCTGCTGTGCTAATTGGAGGCTTATTTATATATGTGTGTATATATATATTTCTAATTCAAAGCCTATTTATATTATTTAAAATCCCGTATTATGATTAAGCCTACGATAAATAACAACAGCTCATATTGTTTGTTTCAAAAATTTAGTCTGAACCTTGTGTACATATATTGAGCTCTGCTGAATTCACCTCTCGTCTGTTTTCCTTAGGATATAGCTGAACACTGTGGAATAAGCTGCATGCCAACATTCCAGTTCTACAAGAATGGAGCAAAGGTAAATCGGGATTTGTACCGTGTGGGGGAATATTAGGTTAAATAAATTTGATTCCCTTGGGCTTTTGGTATCCCTGTTACTGGGATCAATCCCTGGGATTTTATGAACCCAAACTACCGCAATATAACAAAAATAACATCTTTCAAACGCATTCCTTAGAGGTTCTAGTCTGAAAGTGTTCAGATATTTACTAACATTTACTTTGAAGAATCTGTTATTGATGCTGGTAACTGTACGTTTTGTATGGGCACAATACTAAATGCAAGGATTATTACTATTATTTTATATTTCCTCAGGTGTTTGAGTTTTCTGGGGCAAATCGAATGACGCTGGAAGACAAAATCCAAGAGCTGCAGTAATCGTGCATGTAAAAATGCATTGAAACTGGTGTTTCAGACTAAAATGTTCAGTAATTTATTTAGTCAAACAATTTGTAAGAGATAGAGTTGTTTATCTAGAATGTGAATGAATAACGTTTCTTGGGGATTAAATCTGCTAGGGTTTTTCCAAGATCAGTTTCCTCAATTAAAAATGTAGGCTTTTAAAGAACATAAGTAGATTTGGTTATAATCTAATATCAAACTGACAATTTCAGCCTTAGTCTCCATCTCTGCAACTATCCTACTTTCTATAACATTTAGCATTGTTGATAGAAAATTATCTTGAGCTGCAATTTGGATAAATATGTTTTGTTTTCATCTTTACACAGAAATTTTCTTCACCTTAACTCCACCCACTAAACTACCAATTGCTGCTGGTAAACGTGCCCTTGAAAATTACTGATTGCAGTAGTTCTCGGTTGTGCACTCCATTCCATTAACTTTGTGACATTTAAAAATCAACCATGAGCTGTTTTTTTTTGGTCCGCGTGATATCTGACACATCAGGAAACCCATTTATCACACTTTGTCCATAGATGAAAAAAAAGACCATAACAGCTGACATTTGTGACATATTGACAAAGATGTTTCATTTTGGAGGTTGTACCTAGCAGTTTGTTGTAGTCTAGGTAGCCTGCTTTTGCCAATACTTATTTTTCTTAAGAATTTAGCAAGATCCAATAAATCAATTTCTTACTTACAACAAAAAAATTCTAACAAGACCATTAAATTGATCAAAAAGTTTTGAATAGAATGAGACCATCAGAATTTGATCTGCCTAAAACCACAATAGCAGCTATTTCATTTTGTTCTTCGCGGTTCAAGCTGGTGTATCTTCTGAATGTACACGTGTGGTGTAAGGTGTTTTTAATGTCTCAATATAATAAATATTGCGCTTAACATCGTTTTATTGAAATAAAGGTTTTCAGTCAAGCTTTTTTTGCCTCAAATCTTTACTTTGAAATAAAAACATAGACTTGTAACTTGCTGAAGATATTTTATCTCCCTCTCAAAACTATTTTTAAGGCATTCTGAAGATAGATTTAAAAAATTGCCAGAGTTAATTTAATTCAAGACAATGATAATGGGGTTTATCTGCATCAGGATCTGATGCAGTAGTGAAATAATAATAATAATAATCCTTGCATTTGATATAGCGCTTTTCACGTCAGGAGGACGTTCCAAAGCGCTTCACGGAACACACTGTAAAGTGAATTGACTGTATATTTGTGGGTGAACGCGGCAGCCAATTGCACACAGCAATGTCCCACAAACAGTTGTAGATTGAAAATTACCAATTTATTATTGTTTTTGATTTTTTTGAGGGATTATTATTAGGCGTGTGGAATAAGGAAACTTGCCCAGGGTTTCGCCCTCTGCCTGGAATTGAACTCAGGTCTCTCGCTTGCAAAGCGAGTGCTCTAACCACTGAGCTACAGGACTCCAGAAATGGAGCAACATTGTTGAAAAAATAGTCACAAATATTGTGACTGAATTAGCAATGAGATATTTGTTGATTCACAATTCATTACAGTTATACAATAATAGGCCTTGCATTTGATGACTGCACCTTACTCGTCAGGAGATCATTCTCGAAGTACTTCACAAGATTTACTGTAAAGTGTAGTGACTTTTGTGGGTAAATGTACCAGCCAGTTTGGACACAACAATGTCTTACAAACAACATCTTCGACAACGCAGCCCCCCTCCCCCCCCAAACTGCACGCAAGTGTCAGCCTAGACTTTGAGCTCCAAGTCCCGATCTTCTAACTCAGACTTGTCTTTTGACTGCAGATAGCAACTGCCATTTACACATCAACTCTGCCTTGGCAGTTAGTATTGATTATCAGACGCAATGGTGTTGGGAGGCATCCCAGTAAAGTCCATCTCTGCAGAACTGACATCCACATGTTTTCTTCCTACCAAATGGGAAGGGTGAGTTGGGGGGCATGGTGAAATCGGGAGTGGTAAATCTGGTTGTTACACATTTATTTTCTCTGACCCCTTTCCCTGGCCTGTGGATGCAAAACCCAATTTGCCTTCTTGCCCTCTTAGGAACTGGTGGAGAAAAATACAGGTGTAATATTCTGTGAAATTGACATGGATGATACAGCAGTAAGCAGAAGCACCAACAATAATTTGCATTTATATAGTGCCCCTCACGTGCCCCTCACGTTATGGTCCCAGAGCATTTAGTTCAATTGTATGCACAGATCAGAAGTGGAGAACAACAACAACAACAAAATTACATTTATAGAGTGCCTTTCATGTCAGGAGTAAGTCTCAAAGCACTGAACAGTCAGGTATCGGGGCCCGAGCATGGTGGAGGGTGGTGTAGGGGTGAGGGAAGGCAGAGAAGTGGGAGGGTGACCAAAGGCATGGTTGAAGAGAAGGGTCTTGAGACCGGCTTGAAGCACGCAGGGGAGGAAGCGAGGCAAAGGGATTGGGGGATGGAGTTCCAGAGGTTGGGGGCGGAGTGGCTGAAGGCTCTCCCGCCAATCGTGGGGTGGGTGGGTCGGGGAACATGGAGTAGGCCGGAGCTGGCTGAGCGGAGGGAGCGTGTGGGTTGGTAGGGGGTTAGGAGGTCACAGAGATAGGGTGGAAATGAAAAAAAGGGGAAGAAATGATGCTTCAGCTTGTATAGAGCCCATCTGGAGTATTGCATTCAGTTTCGGGCACCAAACCTCAGGAAAGATGTATTGGCCCTGGAGGGGCACTGGGAGTTGGGGTCGGGAGAGGTGAAGGGCAAGGGGTTGGGGGTGAGAGGGTGGCTGAACGCCCAGTCAATGAGAAAGGTCTTTACACGGGACTTGAAGGAGGGGATGAGGTGGAGGGATTGAGTCCCAGAGTATGGGGGCCTAGAGTATGGGGCAGAGATGCTGAATGCCTGACCGCCAATGATGGGGTGGGAAATGCGGGGGACCTGAAGCAGGCCAATGTCCACCGAGTGGAGGGAGCGGATAGGCTGATATGGGATTAGGAGGTCTGAGCGGTGCGGGGGAATGGAAGGACTGGACTATGAGGAGCGACTCAGTAAATTGGGCATGTTCACACTGAAAAAGAGAAGAGTGAGCGGCGACATGATTGCTGTCTTTAAGATTCTAAAGGGACTGGACAACATAAAGCATAATAGGCTGCTTCAACTTGTCCAGAACAGTAAAACCAGAAGACACGGCCTGCGATTGAAGGGGATAAATTCAGAACGAATCTACGCAAATACTATTTCAGTGAGTGTACAGTGAACCTGGGAACTGGCTCCTTCGGGAGACAGTTGAAGCAGGAAGTGTTGATTCTTTGAAACACAGATTAGATAGTTTTCTTTCGGGAAATAATGTGGGGGCAGTGTGGCTGAAGGTCCGCCCGCCAATGTTGAGGTGGGCAAGGCAGGGGACGTGAAGCAGAAGGTCAAACAAGACCCCAAGGTTCTGGACTGGCTCAGTAAGGTGGAGTGTGCAACCATGGATGGTGATGCTGTCAGTGCCTGAGGTGAGGAGGCGCTAATGGGAGCCAATCAGGAGAGCCTCGGTCTTGTTGACATTCAACTGAAGAAAGTTACTTCAGTTCTTGATGTCTGACAGACATTCTGTCAGCACAGCTTTGGTCCTGGAGTCAAGGGTGGAGGCAGAGAGGTACAGTTGGGTGTCATCTACATACCTGTGGAAGTTGACTTCATGTCTGCGGATGATGTCACCAAGAGGGAGCATATAGATGTTGAAGAGGAGGGGAGCAAGGACACAGCCCTGAGGAATGCCACACAAGATGGTACGGGAGCTAGAGGAGAAGTCGTTTGTGGAAATGAAGTTGAGATGGTGTGAGAGGTAGGATCTGAACCATTCAAGGACAGAACCATGAAGATTGAGGTGAAAGGAGAGACGATGGATGAGGATATAGTGGTCAATGGTATTGAAGGCAGCAGAGAGATCAAGGAGGATGAGGAGGCAGAGTGAGCCCTGGTCGCAGATGGACAGAATGTCATTTGTCACTTTTACCGGAGCTGTTTCTGTGCTGTGGGCAGCACGGAAACCTGATTGGAGGGGTTCTTGAGGGAGCAGCATGAGAGGAAGGAGTGAAGCTGGGAAGCAACCACTCCTTCTAGGAAGTGGAGATTGGGAAGGAGACTGTGAGCAGGGATGGGTTCAGGGAGGGATTTTTAAGGACAGGTGTGGCCGTTTTTAAAGGGAGGGATCAGTGCGAATGGGCAGGGAGAGGTTTATGATGTCTGTGAGTAGAGGGGCAAGGAGGTGGAGCTGGGAGATAAGGAGAGAAATAGGGATAGGGTCGAGGGAGCAGGTGGTCAGTTTCATGTGGGTTATAGTGGTGGTGAGAAAGGAGTGGGAGACAGGTTCAAAGGTGTGGAGGGAGGGCTGGTAGGGGCCAGGGTGAGAGGGGGAGATGGGGAGGGGGTAGTAGACGGAAAGGCAAAGGCAGCTGAGAGGATCCCCTGGACTTTGGTTTCGAGGAAGTCTAGCATCGCCTGCCAGTTGGCATTGGAGGTAAGGATGGGCGAGGCGTGAGTTGGTGGGTGGAGGAGCCAGTTGGTAATGGAGAAGAGGAGCCTGCATAGGTAGTTTGGGACATATCTGCATGCGACTGCCAGGAAGGTGGAGGGCGAACTAGATGGACCTTGGTCTTTTTTCGTCTAGCATTTCTGATGTTCTTATGATTCTCTGAGGGACGGGGAGCCAGTAAAGCTGGGCAAGAATGGAGGTGATTGGTTCGCGGAGCTTGGTGCGGGACAGGACACGAGCTGCAGAGTTTTGTGTAATGCAGCTTGTGGAGGGAAGAGTTGGGAAGTCCAGCGAGAGTCAGTTGGCATAGTCAAGCCGGGAAATGATGGAAGTGTGGATCAGTGTCTCGGCGGCCTGTGGTGGGAGGCAGTGGCGGAGGCAAGCAATGTTGTAGAGGTGGGGCAAGTGCTTTGAGACGGCTCAATGACGAGGCACTATATCAAATGCAAGGATTATTATTATTACTAACATCCTGAGTCCTCAAGTTAGCTGAACATCAGGCTTTGAATTTCTCTGCAATGATGTCCAGTTCCTTTAGAACTATGAAAGATTGGCTGTAAGTATTAAATCTAGCTGCATGAATCCATTAAGAATTAAATCTGGAAGCCAAACAAACTATCCAACCTCAATTTTTCAATGATTGTTTTTAGAAATAACTAAAAATTAATAAAATTCATGTTGATTGATGAGGTAGTAGGAGACTGAGTGAAATTGATTTAGGTTCAAAGAATCTCCGTATTCTTTGTTTAAATATTATATTCAGTGAAATGGAGATAATGACTAGATTCCGAGGATATTTGGAGGAAGTGGATACATCTGGTGTGTAATTGGCAAGTCTTCTGGGAATTGAATCTGAATTGTACAGGGTTGGAGAAATGAAGAAGTTTATTTCTACCATTCCAAGGGCTTTTTTACAATAACAACTTGCATTTAGATAGCGCACCTCATGCAGGATACTGCCCCAAAGTGCTTTACAGTGGTTTTTATATAATAATAATAATAATTTTTGCATTTGATATAGTGCCTCATCACACATGTTTTCTCAACTTCTCAAAGCGCTTCACAGAATATACTGCAAAGTGAATTGACTGTATATTTTATGGGCGAAACAGTAGCCAATTGCGCACAGCAGTGTCCCACAAACAGTCGTGGATTCAGTGACTAAATTATTATTGTTTTTATTTTTTTCTTGAGGGATTATTATCAGGTGTGTGGAGTAAGGAAACTTGTCCAAGGTTTCGCCCTGCCGGGAATCAAACCCAGGTCTCTCGCTTTCAAGGCGAGTGCTCTAACCACTGAGCTACAGGACTCCATACCAACCAAGTCATGTTTCATGGCAGATATTTGTCATCCCATTTCTATGTTTGCTCGATTTAAAGAATTTTCTTTGGCATTTAAACTAAGTGGCAAAAGAACCAGAGGGGA